CCGCCCACCCACGCGACACCTCGTGCCTGGGGGTGAGTGTGAGCACGCACGCAGCCCCCCACCTCCAGCCTCCCCCACGTCCCACCCTGCTCCTTGGAGACGGAATTACGGGTACCTGAAGCCTTTAACTTCTCTCCGAGAGGTTCATTCCAGAAATGAGTGTACATTTATATAAATAGAAGCCGTGTGTAGGATACACACACGTATATATATATAAATACCTATATGGAAGAAGGGCTGGTGTCGCAGGCCTGGGACCCCGGGAGCCCAGGGAGCCTCCCCGAGGGATTTGCTGTGGAGACGAGCACAAACACCAGCAGATGATGGAGGGGCTTTTCTGGCAGTTTTGTTTTAAAAATTGTACCTGGACCTGTATATTTGTAAAGCTATTTATCAACCCCCAGAACCCCCGTCGCTGTGTTGCCGCCCCTCCCCCCGCACGCTCATAGCGTTGACACAGCCGCATGGCAGAGAGGTTTCGGTTTTAACTTATTAACAGCTGAGAAGGGTCCTGCTCCATTTAGAGGCGCCGCGGGGCACGCACACCGCGCCGGGCTTGGCCAGCGGCACCCGGAAGCTCAGCCCGTTTCCGTGCGCCCTTAAGGGCCGTTCATAGTTTGAGGTGATTCTAGTGAGGATATTTTATTTCCTTTGGCCTTCTTTTGCAGGGGAATTAGATTTCTATAGGGTTTTTCTTTAGGAGATTTATTTTTTGGGACTTCAAAGCAAGCTGGTATTTTCCTCCAAGTTCTAATTGCCATGTGTTCCGGGTGGGGAGGCAGCTTCCAGTGGGGGCCAACCCTGCACGCAGGCTCAGATGTTATTAGATGTTACAAGTTTATATATATCTATATATATAATTTATTGAGTTTTTACAAGATGTATTTGCTGTAGATTAACACTTCTTACGCAATGCTTCTAGACTTTTATAGCCCGAACTGCCACCTTTCAAAGCTTGGGAGAGAAAGCCGTGAATTCAGTTTTGTTACTTTTTGTACTGTTAATGGCCCGAATTTGGGGGGCTGTTTTTTGCTCATCAGCTGGCCAGCCGGGCAGTGGTTCAGGGTGGTCTTTGTTCTCAGGGCCCCCCCCTCCCCGCCTTATGGGGGCCGAAGGTGTCGGCCCAAACTAGCAGACATGCTTTCCAGAAAATAAAGAGACGACTGGTTCCCATCCCTGCTCTGTGACTCCTTGTTTCCTGCCCTTCTGGAACCCCAGTTCAGTGTCCCTACTGCCCGCCTGGGACAGGTCCTGTCGGCCGCCCTCCCTGCCCTGAGGAGGGAGGGGTCTCCAGCTGCTACGGGCACAGACTGGGACTGGCAGCCTGCGGTCATAAGCTCAGGTCCCGGCTTGGATAGGACAATCCTGGGCAAAGCCAGGGGGAGGGTGGTCCGCTATGCCCAGCTGCATGGGGGTCCAACGTGGGCAGGGCACAACCTCAGGGCCATGGGTGGTCTTCATTGCCTCCGTCTGAGGTCCCCAAGGGCAGGGAATGCCAGCAAGGGGGTGTTCAGGGGATGGGCAATGAGAGTATCCTGGGGTGTGGCTGCGCAAGGAGGAAGGAAGGCCCTGCCAAGCTGCCTGGCTGCCCCTGGCTCGTGGGCTCTAGGTGGACTCGGGGAGTCCTGTGCAGGCATCTGCAGCGGCTTCTGAGGTCTCCCCCTCCACACCCCACCTGCTGGCACCTGCAGTTAGCTGGGGGGGAGAGGAGGTGGTTTCTAGTGGGGCTCCCCGCCCACCCCCGCCACAGAGCCACATGCCAGCAAAACTCACCTGGCCCCTGATTCAGACACACTGGTGGGGGGGGGGGGCTGGGAGGGGGGAGAGTGCTGTCTGCTCTGGGAGCCACACTCCAGCTCCCGGATGCTTCCCTTCCCCATCCCAGGCCTGGCATCACCCCCGCCCCGCCCCAGGGGCTTCACCCGCAGCCCCTGCTCTCCACCACTCCTGGGACTTTGGGCAGACACTGCATGCTGACCCTCAGCTAGCTGGGGCACCGAGGACCCAGTGACAGGACCTGGCCCCCTCTGCTCCAGAGTTCTCGGTCTGGGGCAGTGGGGACGCGGACCAGGGCACCCACCCACGCCACACTGGGGGGGTAAGTCTGGGAAGGCTTCCTAAAGGAGGCGGTAACGCCCAGGCTGTGCTGAGGCTGGAGAGGATTCGGGGACCGACGGCCAAGCACAGACTTGCCCAGGCCCTCTCTGAACCCCAGGGCTGTGCAGGGCCGGCTGTCCCTCCTTCCTCTGTCGCTGCTGACACCTAGTCTGGTCTGACTGTAGAGGGCCAGCCACTGCGCTGGGTCCAGTTCAACTCTGGCTTCTCAGAAACCCGCTCCCGCTAGAGCTGTGTTCAACTCACTTTCCAAGTCTGGGGCCCCCCTGGAAGGGAGGATCTGAACCCGGTGCCGCCCCATACCGTGACCTCACTGGGGGAAGCACTCCTGGCGCCCGGTCCAGCCTGCCAGAGACCCAGTGTTGTGTCCCCAGCGCTCCGGAGAGATGCCGGCCAATGAGGGCGTGAACCACAAGTGTGGGAGTGCGGCCTGGGGCCAGCAGCACCCCAGGCGGGCGGGGAGGTGGAGGGGGCAGCCCAGAGGGGACCCGCGGAGGGGGCCTGGCGGGGAGCCCTGGGGGGCGGGGGGGAGCTGGGGGGAGCCCAGGGGGCGGATGGAACCCGGCAGGGGGGGAGCCCGGCAGTGGGGGGGCCCGGCAGTGGGGGGCCCGGGGGGGGAGGGGAAGCCGGCGGGGGAGGCAGGAAACGGGGAGGCGGGCGGAGTGCGGGCCGGGAGCGCCCTCTAGTGTCCGCCCGCCAGCATCCCCGCCAAGTCCGCGGCCCCGCGGGGCTCCAGGGGCGCGCTCGGGAACGGGGGTCAGGCCTCCAGGGGAGGGGCCGGTCTTCCGGACGCCGGGCCGAGACCCCGGGCGGGACGCGGGCGGGCAGAGGAACAGGCCAGGCCGGCGGGCTGGGCCACTGGACAGGCAGGCGAGGGCAGCCGGGGAGCCTCCCCGCCCCGCACCTGCTGGCCCCACCTACTCCGGGGCCCCGCCCCAGTCAGCCTGCACCTGTCCGGCGGCCCCTGCGGCCCCGCCCTTCACCGGCCGGGCGGTCTCCGCGCAGCCTGCGGGGTGTTCTCCGAGCCCCGGGCCGGGTGGGGTTCGCCCCAGCCCCCGGGCCGGCCTCAGTGGCGGCTCAGGGAGAGACGCGTCCACACGCCACCTGCTCCCCCGCTCGTGGACCTCCAGGCCGGCCCGTCACCTGTCCCCATCGCCGCCTGGCTCGGCTCACCCGGGCTGAGCGCCTCCACACCCTTCCCGGCCCCCGCAATCTTATTCCTGACCTGTGGGCTGCCGCCCGCCTGCGCCCCCAGGCTGGACACGGACCGTGCACCCCGCGTCCTCTCCCCGGGCGGGTGGGCGCACAAACGGCCGCAGCCCCCACACTGAACACCCTTGCAGGCCAGCCTGCTGAACGGCGCCAGCCGCCCCCCCCCCCCCGCCCCACAGCGGCGCGGTTTTCAATCAGGTCCTCATCTGGCTGTCTCTCCCTAGCCCAGAAGAGCCCCTGGTCCTCTCCCGTCTTCCCGGAGCTTTCTGGGGGCACAGCTATGTCCTGTTGGACGGCCCTGCTTTCTGGATACGCCGGTGCTCCCGTGGGGTCGTCGGACTTTGCTGGGGGGGCATCTGGGGCAGGAAGGCTGTGGGGGGGGGCAGGGCAAGGGGCACATGGCCAGCAGCCCTCTCCCCCAGTTGCCCCAGCTCACTGCCCCCAGGGAATGGTGCCTGGGGGCTGGGAAGCAGCACAGGTAGCTTCCAGGCCCACCAGCTGGAATTCTCCCTCAAGACCCTGCGGGGATGGAACGTCCTCCTGAGAAGACTGGAGAACGCCTCTCTCTCTCCTGGTGTGAGTCTGTGCCAGCCGGGCAGACAAGACTGAGGACCGCCAGGGGCGGGACCTTCGTTTACAACCAATTCTCGGTGTTTCATACTCATGCTGTCCTCGTTCTGCTCAGGAGCACCCCTTCCCCAGGACTGTAGAGCCATCTGCCCTCCCAGATCAGCGTCCCCAGAGCCCTGGTGTCTTTATGTGGCCTTCTGAACTGTGGAGCCGAGAAACAGGCTCCCGCTCAGGCCTCATGTCGCCCGCAGGCTTACACGGCCCCTGACCCCACGGTCCCCGGCCACTGACTCCCGCGATGGCGTGTAGGTGCCTGCCAGGGCACCGCAGAGAACCTGGACAGGAGCCGCTGGCTCAGGGCCCAGCCCAGGGGGAAGGCAAGGGCTGAGACCCAGCAGCCCCCCACCCACACCTGCACCCACAAAAATAACCTCTCCCACATGGTTCTGGAGCCGCGTCTGAGCTCTCAAGACCTACGGGGCAAAGGGAACGTGGCCAAGGCTGGCCTCAAGGAGAGGTGGGATGCTAGTGAGGGTGGCCCTCAGGCAGGGTGTCAGGACTCAGTAAAGGTGGAGGGATCCCACACAGCGCCCCATGCAGACTGGTGCCAGTGAAGGGGTGAGGCCACCTGAGATAGGGTGGAGGTCCCCGGCTCAGGGTGGGGTGGTCTGTCTGCCGGAGGGAACTGGGAGGATGGTGGCGGGGGGGGCATCGTTGTGCCTGTCCTGCCGCCTTGTGGCCCTCCCTCCCAGCAGGGGCTCAGCTCTCTACTCTGGGCTAGAGCGCAGGCAGCCCTGAGCTGGCTCTCCGGGCCCTGTCCACGCTTTGGGGAGCAGTCTGCAGGGTAGGGAGGGCCCCTGCATCATCCGGGACCCCCTCAGTGGAGTGCACAGCCCTTGGGCAGTACCGTCCCCACTCCCAGGAGTCTTCAGAGTCTTTCCCAACAGAATTGGGCCCTCCTAGGTGACCCTTCAGCCAGGATCCCAGTCCTGCCCACCCAGGTCCCAAGGCGTCCACTGAGAACTGGGGTCGGGGGGAGAGCCAGGTCAGGCAGCGGCCTCCTTCACCGGTCTGGACAAAGCAACCACCGCACAGTGGACAGGTCATCACGACAGTGCTTTATTAACCCTTCTCCGTACATCACACCGAGTGTCTGGCCACCGCACGGGGGTCAGGCTGGGGGCACAGTCTGACGGGACATGAAGCCAGCGTGCACCTGAGGCCACCTGGGCTTGAGCTCCGCTAGGTGGGACGTCCATCGGGAACCTGGCCTCATGGTGGCACAGCCACGCCCAAGGGCCACGTGCCACCCCCCTCCGCCGTGAAGGTGGAAGCGGACCCTGAAGCCCAAAGCAGACACTCCAACAATTCTGTCCGCTTCCACCTTAACTTCTGATGCGCCACATGGTTCAAAAATCTTACTTCGAGTGTTATGGGAACATTAATTTGGCATTTTAATAAAAACACTATTTCTAAAAAAAGACATTTATACACAGCTGGTGGGGGGGGGGTTCTCAGGTGGAGCTGGCCCAGGGCACCACTGTGAGAACCGCTGCCTGGAGGTTATTCTGCAAAATTGCAAAGCGCCCTTCATTTTTAAAAAGTCTGGATTTTGAGATTCCAAAAGGGCTCCAGAAGCCACACACAGTTTTCCCAAATCCCAACTAAAAGAGTGGTGTTTAAAAGGTGGAGCGAAGGATGAAGCACGCGCTAAGAACTCCTGTCTCCTTTCCAAGCAGGTGTCGACATCACAGGCTGCTTCTCCTCCAGAAGCGCAGGAGGGCTGCGGGAACAGCCGTCCGACACCGGCGGTCACGGCCCAGGCGCCTCCGCAAAGCTCGCGGCACAGAACTGACTTCCAGGTCTACCGCCGGCACGCCCGGACACGACCCTCAGCTGCGGCGACCAGCTCAGGACAGGAACATCCCCCGCGCCACCGAGGCGGGGCCTGCAGCAGGGCCACTGCCCACGTGGCCAGCCCCGAAGGTCCTCGCCAAGCCCGGCAGCATCCGGGGGCGAGCGACTCTCCCGGGGGACGCGGACAAGCGGGGGCGCAGCGGGGGCGCCCGGCCGTGCCAGTGACCGCATCGTGGGGATGCCCAGGGCACCCGGCCAGGGCGGCGACGGGGAAGACAGGATCTGGGCCCAGCTGCTGGGGCGCCGAAGCGCCGCTCGCTACAAAGACAAGCGCCATCCACGGGGCCCACAGGCGGCCCAAAGCTCACAGACACGCACACTTCCTACGGCTCAACACCCGCCACTAACGGAAGTGTAAGGTAATTTATAAATATTTTAATTAAGCATGTAAAATATATTTCTCAAATAATCGAAATAAAAACCCTTTAGAACCCAACTGTTACTTTACAAAGGCTTACATTTGAGAATACATAATCTTATTCCTATTTTGTCAAGTTTCCTCTTTAACGGCTGAGTAAAAATTTTCAAGTAATTTAGAAGCCGTCCTTTCTGGGCCCTCCTCCTCCTCTCCCGGCTCACGCGGCTCACCTGGCCACCCTGTTCCTAGCTCTTCCAAGCCTGTGCCTGCATTCCGCCGAGAGAACGTTCTTGCCCGTAACGGCCCCAGCCTTTGAAGAACAAGTCCGACAGAGCTGAGACCCCAGCACCCCGCCCCCCGAGCACCCCCGACCTGAGCTGCCAGGTGCTGAGGCGGCCAGACGCCAAGCCCACGGAGGCCGCCGCGCTCCAGCCCCGGGTGCGCCAGGTGAGCCCGACCCTCCAGAGCCTGAGTGTTGGACCGGCCCCCGCCAGGGCGCCGCCTCTCTGAAAGCCCCTCAGGACTCCCCGCCACAGGACCCGTGCGGCCACTGGCCTGCTGGTCCGGAGGAGCTGGGAGCAACGCTGTAGCAGGGGGTGTGCGCTCCGAGCGCCCCGCGCCGTCCCTGGACACACAGCGCAATCCGTTCCCATCACCCATGGGGGTGACGGGGCGCCGACAACCCAAAGCGGGAAACTTTCTAAAAGCCACAACAGCATGATCAATTAGTTGAGCGGAAAGGCTTAACTTCCAAGGGCTTCGTTAGTATCTCTCCCGGCGTAACTCTCGTCGGCTACTACGGGTCAGACCTGCAGCGTTGTGTGACAAGGCTGCACTCGTCAACTGCTTCGAGGGTTAGGGGAACACCAAAGGTTAAACCAAGCGAGGGCGGACACACGGCAGGAGACTTGCACAAGGCACCACGTGCCTGTCGGGACAACTGGTTTTCCAGAGGCCATGGGACCCCCGTCGTTCCAGAGACGACTTTGGAACTGTGCGTGAAAAGGTGCCATTTGGCTGCCTGACGGTCAGGAATCCAAGTCCGCAGACTAGTGGGCACGTCTTCTCCAGAGCCAAGGAGGGCTGTGTTTCTCTAATTCCCATCTGCGTGCCTCAGGCTCCACGGGCACGGGGAGTCCACACGGCCGGTCCTTTCTTCCCCAGGGACAGGCACCAGCAGGGTGCGGCCCACGCAGGGAAGGAGGCACCTTACTGCCCCGGCCTGGCCCGGGCCCACCTCTGGAGCCAGGAGGCCCGTGTGCAGCCACGACTCCCCGGCTGTTGGCGGGCCGCACACGTGGCCACCACGGCTGGGGCCACGGCAGCACCGTGCCACTGTGTGAGTCCAGACATGATGCCCTGGAAGGGTTCAGGGATTCCAGACTGAATGAATCTTCGTGGAATGATGAAATTAAAAATTACTTGATTATGGAAGTTTCTGATTTATTCCAGACAAAATACTAGATTGTCACTAAGAATTACCTCAAAGCCGCCTCGAGCACAGCAGGGCCCGGCAGCCGGTGCTGGGGGGCGGAGGCCGACGCGGGAGGGGCCCCGAGGCGCCCGTGAGCGGGGCAGGCCCTAATTCTTCACTTCGGCGGCCTCCTTCCCAGCCTTCTCCTTGGCCTTCTCCTTTTCCTCCACCTTCTCCTCCTTTTCCAACATGGCCACAATCTCGGCCACCTGGCTGGTGGAGATGTGGATGTCTTCTTTGTCCACCAGCTCGATCACCTACGCACACAAGAAAGGGACGAGGGGCTCGGGGGTGGCCCTGCCCCCACGCAGCGCTTTCCCCGCAGAGCACGCAGGGGAGACGGGACGCGGCTCGTCCCAGCAGGAGGGCCCCTGGGGTCCTGCAGCAGCCCTGGTTCCCCAGTACCAGGCCCCCACCCACCTCCAGGAGGCCAACAGGCTCCAAAGCCCCAGGCCAGGTTAAAGCTAGGAGGCAGGGGTGCCTGGGTGGCTGTCAGTGAAGCATCTGCCTTCAACTTTGGGGTCTTGGGATCGAGCCCCATCTCGGGCTCCCTGCTCGGCGGGGAGTCTGCTTCTCCCTCTCTGTCTGACCCTCCCTGTTTGTGCGTGTGCGCTCGCGCCCTCTCTCTGTCAAATGAGTAATAAAATCTTAAAAAAAAAAAAGCTATGAGGGAGAGGGACTGAGAGAGCAGGAGACATGTGGTGTGTGAGGATGTGGGGGTGGGGGGAGGGGAACGGGGGGCGGGTCCCCAGTCGGGTCCCTGGTCGCGGCCGGGGGGCCTGCCCTGGACAGAGGCTCCTCAGGAACATCTCGCCCCCGTGGCTCCACCAGGGCAGAGGATCCAGGCGTGCAGGGCGAGGGCATCTGAGCTGCCATCTACACCACGGAAGGGGCCCCAGGGGAGGGGTGGCTGACGTGGGCTCGGGCCTCCCAGCCTCTGCTGCTGGCAAAGGTAATGCCTTGTCTTCAAGCGGACCACAGTCACTCAGCAGTTATGCTTCGTAAACACGTGAAAAATCACCAACCAGCTGGACACTGGAAACTGTTCAAACACCCGTGAAGGTGCTCTCCCCTCAGACACCTCCTTATGAAGGTGGAATCCCATTCCCAGTCTCCTGGGCTGCCCAACTCTCGGCACCAGGGACCCAAGTGCTCCCCTGGATGCCCCCTCCGGGTTCGGGTGGCCCGGAGGACGGCCGCACACAACTCCTCCCCGCCCCGAGGTCTGCCCCAGGCACCCTGCCGCTGCCGCATCCCCCTGACCACGCCATGGCCCCACCAGAGGCCACAGGAGGCCAAGTGTCCAGTCAAAATGCAGACGGGCTGCTCTAGGTGGACACCCTAAGCCAAGGGTTTAGTGTGAGGGCAGGGACGGGGCCACACGTGGAAAACGTCCACCCCCAGAGACAGCCGTCGGCTGGGCCAGGCAGTCCCGACCCAGTCCCACAGCTCACCTTGACGAGGTCGTCGATGTTGATCTTGCCATCCTTATTTTCATCCAGCGCGGAGGCCAAGCTGATGAGCTTGTTTTCTGGAATGTGCTTGATTTGCTTCATGGCACTGATGAGCTCGGTGATGCTGATGACGGTCTCCCTGGGGTTTGGGGCAGGACACAGCCCGTCTGCGGCACTGCCACACCCACGCCCTCACCAGGCCTCCTACGGGTCAACCCTGACCCAGGCAACCACGCCCTCCAGCGCTCCCCGGCCCCTGCCTTTGGGAATGCCCACCCAACCCGGACACAAAACCAGAGATCTCCACTTGGTGCCACGTCTCCCCGGGCGCTGCCCCCCAGCACGCCTCTCCACTGCGGGGCAGCACAGAGTGCGCCACGGTCCCCGGGCAGGGGTCCTCAGGCCCGTGTGTGCCGTGGCCTGGGTGGCAAGGGCCGAGTACTGCCTTCTGACCAGTGAGGGCGGGTGGGCTGACACAGCTCAGGAAGGACACTAACCTCGTCTGGGGGAGAAGGCCCCCCAACCCGAGGACAGCAGGAAGCCTGCAGCCAGCCCACCTGCCCCCTTGGAGATGTGGGCGCTCAGAGCACAGTGCCCAGCCCAGGGAAGCACCATTCACCAGCCGGACAGCTCTCCACTCACACAGTGACCTCCAGAGTGGGGGTCGTCACTGAGCGCCTGTGTGCAGGGGGTTCAGGAAGAGAGAGGCGGCAGGGGAGGGCCCAGGGGTTCCCAGGGGAGCTGCAATCCTATGTACGAACGTACGAAGGACCAGCTTGATGGCAGTCTGGAGACAGGTGTGGCCTACAGTGGCTGGGGGGTGAGGGTTGGGTGGGTGGGTGGGGGGGACCAGCCAAGCCACAGGTACGGTCCTGACAGTGGCCAAAGTGTGCGTGTGCGTGCGTGTGCGTGCAGGAGAGAGGACCCTGAGAGCTACTTCAGTAAAACGGTTAGTGACAAGTGGAGACTGAGGTGTGGCTGGGCTTCTGGCTGGAACCACTGGGTCAAAGGTCAGGGGTTGGGCACCACAGCTGAGAAATGCACTTCAAGGTCAGCACATCTCCGAGTCTCCCTGTGCCTGGCGTCGGCGCCCTACTCACCCCGTAGGCGGCTGCTCGGGGGTGGAGCCCAGCTTGCCAGCCTGCTGGTCCATCTCCAGCTGGGACAGCAGGCTATCTATCTGCCCGATCATCTGCTGCACCCTCTTCGTCAGCCTCTTGCTGGCTTTAGACTCCTCCACATAGATCTCTTCGCCAGTCTTGGAAAGCTCCTTCTTGATCTCTTGCAAGTCCTAACGAAATTATTCAGCTATAAAAGACTGTCTTAAAAAAAAAATAAAAAGGAACCATACACCTCTGTTTACCTTGTGAAAGTAGTTAAATTAACCCAAAGGTAAAAAGTTCCAGGTCACAAACAGAGCTGCATAGTCGTATCTGCCTCTCTCATACAAACTACTCTTATTTTTGCAAACTCAAAATATTGATTCTGTAGCAAAGGAAATGGCATCTATTTGAGTCTCATCTTTCTTCATATTTGTTAAAAGAATAAATAAATGGATGAAAGAATCAAGGAACAGAAAGTGCCTTCGTAATCCCAAATCACGACTGTCCCCATGAGCAAGCGTTACAGGGAGCAATGGAAGGTGGGGCTGGAGACGAGGCAAAGGGCTCAGTATTTCTGGTGAACACCTAATTCCCAATGGAGAACCCACCATGGCAACAGGGTTGCCATGAAAATGGTTCGTTATTTTTACCAATCAATCTCAAAACTAGTCATCTTTTCCCAACGGATCTATGAAAACATAGTTCTTTTATAAAGTAGGCTCCACACCCCACGTGGGGCTTGGGCTCACGACCCTGAGATGGAGTCACACGCTCCAACTGAGCCAGCCGGGCACCCCGAAACAGCTCTTTTAAATCAGATTCGGAAGTAATATTTATAAAACAGGTTTTCCTTTAAAAAAACAATAATAAATGAAAAGAGCTAGTGTGTAAGAAAGAAGTGTTTCGGGGAACTACGACCGCAGCTAGGATTCCATTTATCAAGCGACCAGACACAAGGCCTGGTACCTTCACGGGCCTGTGAACTGCCACGGCGAGCGGCCAGGAGCAAAGGGCCCAGCCGCACGGTGGCCCAGCCGCGCAGAGACCGCCGCCCGGCCCAGAAGAAGGCGGAGGGCACCCCCGAGACGCCGCCGCCCACCTCGCTGTAGTCCTGCACGTCCTCCTTGAGCAGCTCCAGCTCCTCCTTCTCCTTCGTCAGGGACGACTTCTGCTCTTTCAGCTTCGAGCAGGCGTTGCTGAGTATGTCGATTTCCTCTTTTGTTATTTCCTCTTCCTGCAAAGCAAGCACCCCAACGGAAACCCAGCTGGAGGAAGATCATCACTGCCCTCCCACCCCCCGAGACTCGGCAGCTCTTCTGTCCACACCATCTGCTCCCGCCATGTGTGGCAGAGGCCAGCAGACACGCGCGCAGTCCCCGTCCTCGCCCCCATGGCACCCACCCCCGCCACATGTGTATCGGACATGCACACAAGCCCGGGAAACCATCACCCCCTGACGGAGACCTGTCGGCCACCCCAAACCTCTGTGTCCCCAGGCCAGCTCCGAGCTGTCCTCCAGCAGGTCACACAAGCACCCATCCCAGACCAGGAGCTCATGCGTGCAGGACGTCGTCCGCCCCCTCACTCGGAGCCCCACTCGTGTTGTCCTGTGCCTCCAGGGGCCAAACAGCATCCCGTCCTGAGCACAGACCAAACCTGCTCCTGTACCGTAGGCTATCCTAGCTCCTCTGAACTTGCACGTACGCTTTAGAATAAGCCTATCAATTTCCACACAAGGCCCGCTGGGACGTGATGGTTTTGAACCTATACACGAGTTGCAGAACGAACACCTCACCAACAAGGACCCCTGGCACCCACGAGGGCAGGACATTCGTCCGAGCTAACTAACCTCAACAGCACCGTAGCATCCGGCGTACGGCGCTGACGTGGCTACTTTCGGACTCACCCCCACGCGGCTCACTCTAGGGGGCGGTGAGCGATAGGCCGAGATTCCAAGTTGGCTGCTCGTGCCCAGCACAGAGAAGCAGCGCTCGTTCTTAGTGGCTCACATGCTCTGCAAACAGGCAGTTTCGCTCCCTCCTTCCGACTGTGTGGTTTTATTCTCTCTCCCCCCTAACGCCCCTGGCCAGACCCTCGGCACGCTGCTGGGCAGAAGCAGGCCGTCAGGGGCCCAGCGGCAGCTGTCTGCACAGATGCTCCTCGTCGGGTTGAGAACGTCCTCCTCTCCTGGCTTGCTGAGGAATTTTTTTTTAATCAGAAGCAGATGCTGGGTTCTGTGAAGTGCTTCTTCTGCATTGATCGAGATGCTCATACATGGTTTTTCTCCTCATTCTGTTACTACGCTCGTTACACTGACTGGTGTTCTGTATTCCCTGGACAAGCCCCATGAGATCAAGACGCGTTAGCCTTTTCACAGAATGGCTGCATCTGATTTGCCACGAGTTTGTTAAGAATTTGTGCATCTGTGCTCCTGAAAGAGGCGGTTGTGCAGTTCTCTCCTAGAGGTCTGGCATCAGCTAACGCTCATCTCAGAACAAGCTGGAAACGGTCCCCCCTCTCCGGCTTTGTGCAGTCTGTGTCGCATGGAAGGATCTCACCAGAACTTGGCCTGTGACGCCACACGGGCCTGGCTTTCTCTGTGGAAAGGCTTCCAGCCACAGTGCAGGGTCCCTACCAGAGACGAGCTATTCGGGTTCTCTGTGCACCCCCAGCAGACGCTCAGCACGGCTGAGACCTACAGGGCTGCACTGCAAACGGGGACAGACATACTCGTTTTTCCCACCCCTTACACTGACTTTCCAGGGAACAAAGGCTCTTAGCTGTCAGTTTTGTAAAGGTTTGTGCTTCTTGCTAAGAAATCCTCAGCAATCCTTAGTTCTTCTGACAATTCTTTTTTTTAAGATTTTATTTATTTATTTGACAGAGACACAGCGAGAGAGAGAACACAAGCAGGGGGAGCAGAGGGAGAGAGAGAGAGCAGGCTTCCCACGGAGCAGGGAGCCCGATGTGGGGCTCGATCCCAGGACCCTGGGATCATGACCTGAGCTGAAGACAGACGCTTAACGACTGAGCCACCCAGGCGCCCCATCTCCTGACAGTTCTAAATGTCCTTTCACATCTAGGCCGTTAATCTGTTGGAAATGGGATGCATCTGTTTCCATGAAGAAAGCCAACTGTCCCAGCCCTACTTAATGACAGGTGCCTTTTCTCCCTAACCTGCGTTCCATGGGCCCAGCCAGGCTCCATCTCTGCTCAGCTGTGTTCCAGCCTTGCACGCCCTTAAAAATGACCCTGACCCTTCCCTGGGTCACCCTTTGAGACCAGCGTGGCTCCACCTTCCTGGGACCCTCTTCCTCCCAGCCTCCTCGATGTGTCCATACCAGCATGTATCTGTTTCCAGGATGGCCCTGGCCTCCCTCCTCACTGTTCCAGCCACTGTCCTCCACCCAAACACACGGCCTCGGAGGATGACAGACCGTCTTCGGCAGCCGCACCAGCTCAGACGTGCTACCCCGAGTCTTCTCACAACAACAGTCTAGATCCTCCCTGAGACCCAGCTCTCCCTGCCGCCTGCTGCAGTGGGTTCCTTCCTTCCCCATGGGCCTGGAGAAGGCTGGCGTCCCCCCAGCTCCTGGCAGCTCCACCCTAAGACCCCCGCAGGGGAGCTTTTTCTTCCAGCTCTGCCCCACAATCGCTCCTGCCAAGCCACAGACAACCTCACCCTCCCCATGAGAGGTCGGTCTTCAGGCCTCCCCCACCTGGCACTCAACACCCCCGACAAGGCCCACCCTCCCCTGGACACAACCTCCCACCAGGGGTGGACGTGTTGGGACCGCATGAGCTGTCCCTCCACAGCCTTGTGTCTCCTCTGACCTCTGACCGTGGAGGCCACCGTGTCCCAAGCCCTCTGGGACCTCACTTGAGACCACCTCCCACCCAACACGAACCCGCAGTCCTGGCCTCTCTCCTACTCCAGCTGCCAAACCAACGTTGCCATCCGTCTACAGAGATTTCCCACACCCGACACCTGGGAGTTCAAGACAGAAGGCGCCCCGTGTGGGGAGCAGGCTACGCCAGGACAGTGAGGCCCCCCAGGAGAAGTCTATGGCTACAGTGCCCAGCACATCAGGCTGCAGGTCACACCAGCTTCCCTCCTTGCCACTGTGCAGCCCGGCCAGGAAGGGGCCTGGAGACCTGCCTTCAGGCGTGGATCTCCGGCCACTGGGAGCACAGACGGCCCGGGGGGCCAAGCCACGGGCACCTCAGCCTTCTAGGCGCCCAGGCCCAGAGCTCGGAGCGCAGCTTGCTCTTGTCACAGCACACCGGGCCTCCCGAGAGCTTCTCCGAGCTGCGGCCTCGCCCTCCGCACCCCACAACCGCCTGTTGTCACCCTAAGCCTGGCCCCGGCACCTCAGGAGTCCCTGCCCCACAAGCCAGCCCCCTCTCCACCCTCCTGTTGGGCTCCAACACGGCCTGCATTCCGGGTGTGCGTGCGCGGTTACCTTCAAGCCTTCCAGGACAGGGGCCGTGTCCTTCAGGGCCTCTGACGGCAGGGTCACCTCGGGCACTTCGGGCTGCAGCTCGGTCGCAGGCCTCCCAGGGGCAGCCTCTGCCGCCACTTCGGGCTCCACTTCCTTCTGAAATGCAAGTCCACTGCCGACTCAGCGTCACCTGGCGCCCCGGCCACCGTCCTAGAGCATCAGCGCCGGCACGGACCGAGGGCACGATGTCAATAGGCCGGCTGTGCACCGGTGCAGGTTTGAAAGCCCGGCAGCCAGCATGCGGAAGGTGACCCCCGCGAGGCGTCACTGCAGGACTCCGACGGGCGCAGCTGCGCTCCCAGGTCCACGGAGGCTCGTCTAACGCGGTACCAATATCAAACTCCATCTTCCGTCCTCCCCTGACAACTGCATGAAGCTGCCCCACGACTTCCAGAGCAAACACACCCACCGCCCGGGCCAAGGGGCCCAAAGAGAACGTGGGCACTGAGCTGCCCCTCTGTCCGTCGGCCGAGCCGGCCGTGCTGGGGGACTGGCACCCAGACCACGGAGAGCCAGCCAAGTCCCGTCCCCCGGGCCTTCCAGGCAGAAAACAGGAGACGGACCGCAGGGACCCTCTAGACACGGTTCCACAAGCAGTTTCTAGAAAAGCTGGAGCAGACAGCCTTTAGCCTGTCCCAACGCCCTGTGTGGCTCCCGCTCTGCCTGGGCGGGCCCACGGACCTGCCAGCTGCTTACCGCTGCCTCGGAGAGCCTCTGCAGCTCCTTCTCCCGGTGCTCCTGCTGGATGGCCGCCTCCTCCTGCAGCGTGGCCTCCAGCTTCGCCTTGTTGTCCACCTGCTCACCCTCCACTTCGGCCACCTTCATCTGGGCCTCCTTTGCCTACAGACCGGGGACACCTGTGAAGGGGGTGCCTGCGGCCCAAGGGCTCGTGGCAGCACGGCAGGTTTGGCCGCGGCCAGAGAGGCCCCTGCAGCAGCCTTGCCCGCCTGCACTGCTGAGTGGGACCGCCTCCTGGGGTCGCACTCAGGAACCCGTCTGCTGGAAAGGCTGCAAGGCAGCCGAGGGGCACCTTCTGCACCCGTCACAGGAGCCCTCAATACTCAGAGAAAGGACCGATAAGACAGAAGTGGGTGGGGCGCATCCCCAGAAGCGAGAGGGCCCCTTCCAGAGCGAGCCGCAGAAGCGGTCTCCTGGCAACACGTACCACGATCTCCGGGAGTGTCTGCAGCGTGGACTTGAGCTGGTCGGCGGGCGAGAGGGTGTCTGGCAGGTACATGGCCCGGGACAGGATGAGCAGGGACGTTGGGATCTCCTGATGCAGGTGCAGCTCCAGCCACTGCAACCGGGGGTTGAAGACACATACTCACCTGCTGGCCGCGTCCCATCGGCCTCTCCTGGGACCTGGACCCTGGAATTTTCCTCTCTCTTCTGATTTGATGGGGGAGGGGGACTTGAGTAGATGGATGCACTAGATCACTTGAGGAAGTTCTCCCCAAAACAAGAGTCCTCAATTTCTACAAGGCCCACCTACTGCCACCTCTTATGACCTGACTCCCGCCTCAGCTGACCGAGCCCGAGATGCCCCAGGGTCGTGAATGAAGACCCGCGTGGCATGGCCACCAGCCTCGGGAAGCACGGAGCGAGGCGACCACACTCTCTGTTAATGAAGCTCTTCGCTTACTGATTTTTTATTTAATTTTTCTTTTTTGGGGTTGGGGGGCAAAAGGAGAGAGAACCTCTAGCAAACTTTCTGCTGAGCACAGAGCCCGCCGCGGAACTTGATCTCATGACCCTGAGATCACGAGCTGAGCCAAAACCAAGAGTCGGATGCTCCGCTGATGGTGCCACCAGGCACCCCTGGAAGTTCCTCACGTCCAAGCGCCACAGACACTGCAAGAGTGGTACCTGTGGGCTCAGAAGGCTCTCAGGGCTCTGCCAGCCTCGTCAGGGCCAGGCGCTGCGTGGGGGGATGTTAGTGACACAAAGACAGTGTTCAAACGACCAGGAAGACACGACAAGGTCTGGACACAAACTGGGCGCAGGACAGAAGCGGAGACGAGACGGAGGACACACGACCAGGGAAACCCAAACACTCTGATTTCCGACAGTGTCCCACACTCACACGTGCCCAACTGTGCTCAAAGCAGGCTGCCAACAGTCTCGGGCATGCCCGCGGGAGACACAGGGACCCAGCCTACAGAGAAGGTTCTGCCGGGGGACCGCACAGTAAACAGCACTTGTGTTGAAAGAGGAGAAGCAGGTGCTGACACACCTTTGTCTACATGTGGAGGACAAGCCCCGGGGAGGGAGCCGGCCCTGCAGACAGAGCTGGAGGGGGGCCCGCTGGCACTGGGCATGCGTTGGGTCTTCCGATGTGGCAGCTCAAGTGCCGTGCATGTCCCCTCTCCAACCTCTAACCTACTCAAACTGATGCAGCTGCCACGCTGGTCTCTGGATGCTGACCAAGGGCCCCTGAGTCGCTGGAGAAAGCAAGGCACAGCTGACAGAGACACTCAGGATGGGCTGGCCTGGGTCCTATTTACCCAGAGGTCCCTGGCCTCAGTTACAAGACACGCTGGAATTTTAAGGGAAGTTCACCTCATCCTCATCTGTCCACACAGGACCAGAATGGGACAGTAAGGATGTTAACATCAGCTAAGAGCAGGTGAGAAAGGTCAGAGCCGCGAACATGGGCTATGTGAGCACACGACAGAACCAGGTCACCACGCACCCTCGTCCAGGCCTGGCTGCCACCAGGGTTTGGGGAGAGTTTTTCCACAAGCAGCCCATCTATGCTGGTCAGATGGTGGGGAAGCCCGAGCCACACACCTGCTTCAGCTGGTCCTTCAGCCGATCCTCCGTGACACCGAGGGCCCGCATGCCTCGCGCCCGACACGCTGACTGCAATTCCTTCACATTCAGGCTGTCCACCCCTTCCTCAGCGATCAGCTGTAAAAGAAAGTCAGCTAAGTACACGTGCAAAGGTCATTCCAGGATTACAGTGTCTCACTGTCAGACACTTTCCTAACACGCCTTGCCAAGTGCAAGATAAACCAGCACCACCAAGGCCTCAGCTTTGGGTCTGCAGTGACCAGAACCGTCTGACAGAAGGTGCGGACCTCAGGGAGGCTCACAGTGGCCAGGATCCCACCTCAGCCCAGGCCCTGCTCCCTGCGCTTGACCGCCCCTTCCTCCTCCTCCTCCTCACGGTCACCCCAGCGTCTCTCCCCACCCCCCACGGCCCTCCAGCCACCCAGCGGTTCTCAGTATCCGCAGGACGGGAGGAAGGACGGAGAGCAGTGCGATCCCGACCTTCTGAAGAGGTCTCCTGGCCTCCGCCCGAGGTCACAGGGACCCAAGGGAGAAGAGCGAACCAGAGTTCCCGTGCCAGAGGCCCCCTCGGCCGGCCCCACTCGAGCCTCACAATGACCCTGTGAGGCAGACAGCACCGCGACTCCCCGTCTCTGAAGTAAGCTTTCCATTTTGAGATGACTGTAGATCAACATGCAGACATGACAGACGGGGTTTCTCCCCAGGGTAACGCCATACAGACGATGCTGACAGTCGTAGCCAGCACGGCGACGGCACCAAGCAGGAAACCCTTCTGTCCCCACGAGGACCTCGTGCTTCACAGACACTCCCACCTCCTGAGCCCCTGGCAACCACTCCTCTGCTCCTCGTTTCCGCTGGGCGGGGAGCTACGACTTTGGGGTCTCCCGGGAAACCTGTGCACCTGCTCTTCCCTAACCAGGCAGCGCTGCGCCGGAAGACCACCCCGCTTTAACCGTTCTCCCACTCAAGGGCAGCTGGGTCTTTTCAGTTTGGGGTTGTTATGAAAAAGCTGGGTTTTTGTTTTCGTTTCCCCATCTTCCTGTGGGTTCCGTGGTTCCACGTGGACTTGTGTCCCGTGCTGCTGAGTACGTCTCCTTGCGTGGTACGTGCAGTGGTTGCTCACCGTCCATATCCTCGTCCCAGTCCCAGCAACGTGTCGACACCTTGGCCCCCGGACGCCCCTTGACCTGTCCCCCTCACGGCACACTCGTCTCAGCGTCTCCTGCTTCCACGGACAGCCACCCCACACAGCCCGTTTCTGCTGCGACCATGGCACTTGGCGTAGAGGCGGACGAGAAGGAGGTCTGCGCTCTTTTGTCTTCATGGTCCAGGCCTCCTGGCACCGCTGACCCGTGAACAACACGGGCTTCAAGTGCGCAGGTCCACGCACGCTCGGGGTTTCTCCACACAGGACGGCCCTGGAAATGTCTTTTCTCCTCCTTACGGTTTTAGTAACATTTTCTTTTGTCTAGCCTACTCTGTTGTAGGAATACAGCCTGTAACACATATTATACACAAAACAGGTGTTCGAGAACTGTAGGTCATCGGTAAGGCTTCTGGTCAACAGCAGGCTCTTAGCAGGTAGGTTTTTGGGGGTCAAATGTCACACACAGAGGGCCCGGCTGTGCCACCTGCTTGCTGACCCCTGAGAGACACATAGGGAGGAGCTCCCTCCAGTTGTTTTTAATGGAGTCAAATCCTGTCTTGGGCATTTTGTTTCTTTCTGAGAACGTAACCTGAAACACTACAGAGCCGAGGGTCATATAAAAGGTGGACCGGGGCGCCTGGGTGGCTCAGTCGTTAAGCGTCTGCCTTCGGCTCAGGTCATGACCCCAGGGTCCTGGGATCGAGCCCCGCGTCGGGCTCCCTGCTTGGCGGGAGGCCTGCTTCTCCCTCTCCCTCTCCCCCTGCTTGTGTTCCCTCTCTCGCTTTCTCTCTCTCTGTCAAATAAATAAATAAAATCTTTAAAAAAAAAAAAAAGGTGGACCTGTGAACCTCACACAGCTCTGCACACATCCCCAGTGTACTTCTACTGCCTTCTAGATGATCCCCTTCCTAACACATCACCGCACTTGTAAATACCTTCTCTACTCTAACACCACTTCAGTTAGGGATAAAGAGACTAAAAAGGAAAGTCATATGCAGGTTTTCGTGTGTTGGGGGAGACGCAGGGCCCAGTGTCTCTAACCCCCACGTCATTCAAGGGTCAACTATGTCCTTTCCGAGTAGAGATCCTCCTCTAGGTTGAGGCAGATCTGCTGGTGGCAAGTTCTCTTAGTTTTCCTTCTTCTGACAATGTCCTGATTCCCCCCACTTTCTTAGAGAATATTTTCAATGGGAAGAGGACTCGGAGCTGACAGGGCTTTTCAGCACGTGAAGAATACTGTTCCTTCCGGCCTCTAAGTTCTGAGGAGCATCTTCGCTGTGGGCCAGACGCTGTTCTCACGCACTGCTGTCAAATCAGCTGCCTTCAGCGTTGTTTCGTTTGACCATGATGTGTCTTCGTGTGCATTTCTTTGGGTGGATCCCACCTGAGGTTCACTCAGCTTCTAAGATTTGCTGATTCAGGTCTTTTACTGAATTTGAGAAGAGTTCAGCCGTTATTTCTTCCAGCACTTTCCCAGCTCTGCCCTCCCTCCTCTCTTTCCAGAACTCTGACAAGTATGTGAGATGCTTTCCTCTAATGCCACAGGCAGCTGAAGCCCTGCTCACTTTTTTTTTAAGATTTTGTTTATTCATTTGTGAGAGAGCGAGCGAGCACAAGCAGGGGCGAGAGGCAGAGGGAGAAGCAGACTCCCCGCTGAGCAGGGACATGGGGCTCGAGCCCAGGACCCTGGGATCATGACCTGAGCAGCCACCCAGACGTCCCTTTGCTCATTTTTTTAAACTGTTTTCTCAGATGTTCAGATGGGTGATTTCTACTGTTTTATCTTAAAAGTTCACTGAGCCTGTCCTTCTGTCCTCTCCCTTTCTGCTATAGAGCTCATCCATTAAGATTTTATTTTGGATTTTATTTTTCACTTCTCTAAATTTCCATTTGTGGGGCACGTGGGTGGCTCAGTCGGTTGAGCATCTGACTCTTGGTTTCGTCTCAGGTCGTGATCTCGGGGTCGCAGGATCGAGCCCCACGTTGGGCTCTGTGCTCAGGGTGGAGTCTGCTTCAGATTCTTTCTCCTTCCCCTTCTCCTCCCTGCTCACGCTCTCTCTAAAATAAATAAATAAAATCTTCAAATAAAAAAAGATTCCCATTTGGTTTTTCTTCGTTTTCTCTGCCAGGACCATGCTTCCTTGTGGCTACCCAAGGGCTGCTTCACAACCGTCCTCTGGGTCTCACGTCTCTGCTATCTCCATCGGCTGCCTTTGCTTATCCACTTTGAGAACGTTCCGCTCTTCTTTTTTTCTTTTAAAGCTTCACATGGAGCCCAGAGCAGGGCTTGAACTCACAACCCTGAGATCAAGACCTGAGCTGAGGAGTCAAACGCTCAACCGAATGAGCCACCCAGGTGTCCCAAGAGCCTTCTGATTCTTAACAAAAGGAGTGATTTTCAATTTAAACCCGGACGTTTTGGGTGTTAAAAATGAGATTCTGGATCTTGTTTCAATGTTCGATCTTAGCTGGCTCCCTCGGACAGCACTCTGGCACGGGAGTGGTGAGTAATGTTCTAACCAACTTCTACAGATTTTGCAATTGATGATCTGGCATCTATTGATCCAAACTAACAAGCCTACATGGCTTGGATTCCCCCGCCCCGTGGCCTGGCTTTCATGGGAATGCAAGAATCCGGTTTCGAATCCTCCAACCACAAAGCCCGAGCCCTGTGTCACTTCCTGTGGCCAGCCACTCCTAACTCCCACCACACGAGTAATAAGGGCCAGGTCCCAGGTCCTCCCTTGTTCCCGCTTTCTGGTCCCCAGGTGTGTCAAGGTCTCCTCTGGCCCTCAATGGGGGCTGTGCCCCCATTTCTAGGGCAAATGTGAGTCATAAGCTCCCTTCAATGGTTGACTTCTCTGTGTTATCTCTTGGTTATACCCAAAAATGACATCCGTGGCCCAGTTTGGAATAGGTAGGGTGCCGGCTCGTTGCTGCCAGGCCCCCATTCAGCCTCCACTGAGCCCCGGGGGAGGCACTTCTGTTTCTCTGGGGTAGTGGGGATTCGAGTTCTAATTTTCTGCCAGGGCTCCCCATACCTCCTGGGCTAGGTAGGGTAGGCAGCCCACCTGGCTCTGGACACCACCCCAGTGGGGCGCAGGGCAAGGCCTGGGAGCGGTTAGGTGAAGTGAAGGCCCTGGCCCCTGCTGGTCTACGGACACTGCGCCCCGGGGAGGGAGGGCAGCTCGGCACCATCGGCCGGCCTTCCTGGACACCGTCCCAGCTGCGAATCCGGAAGAGGGTGGCGGCCTCAGACCTCAGCCAGCAGGGCACATGGAGGTGTGATGGCGTCCCCCTAGTGTCTGCTGGGGTAGAGCGGTCACTGTCCCAAGTCCTCTGTCTTGCGAAGCAGCCCCTTTCCTGTCCTCTGGCCAGAGAGAGCAGACTTTTGTTAGGGGGTTTTCTGCTTGCTTTTTAAAAAAGATATCAATTTTAAGTAATCTCTACACCGCACGTGGGGCTCGAGCTTACAGCCCGGAGATCAAGAGTCACGGGCTCCAGCGACGGAGCCAGTGAGCACCCCCATCAGGCTCTGGAAGTCTGCACACATCAGCACCTCTTCGTTGCCGTCTCTTCAGCCCCAAGGCACAAAGACCCACTGGGTTGGTCCTGGGGTCCCAGGGTCTTCTCCCAGGCTTCACAATCTTGTCACTTAACATCAACATCCAGGGAAAAGGAAGCCCACTGCACCTTCCCAATGGTGGAGGTCTGGCCACTGCGGCGTTGAGCAGCAGGACGACTTGTCCAAGATCACAGAGCAGGCGAATGGCCAGGACTCAACCCCAGGCGACCTGCCCTTGAGCTGCCTCTCTGCAGGTGGGGTGGGAGTGGGGGCAGCCACATGGCAGCCCCCTCGCTCTGCTGCAGTGGGTGCCCGGAGTATGCTCCCAGACGACCTGTACTGCGCTGGAGAAAAGGTTTCTTTTCATCCTTTCAGAAACACAGTGACGCTCTGCTACTTCAAGCTACGACGAGGAGCCATTCTCATCCGACCCACTCCCCTGCTGAGAACTCCTAGAAAGGCGATAAAACACACACAATACACACCAGGCAGCGTCGGAAAGCTAACACAACTAGGGCTCGGGCACAGTGAGATCATGTGGACGGAAAGGCCAGGCAACCACGGAGGTGTGGGCTGTCCGTCTGTGAGCCACTGGGACACGACAACTTCGACCAACTTTTAGGGCAGGCGGAGAGTCCAGGCCGGGGGCCACGGCTGAGAGGCAGAGACCTCTCGCCGGGCTAAGAAGATGACAGCCGGAGTCGAGGGGCTGCTCGAGCAGACAGGCCTCGAGGGCCGCCGCCCAGGGAGCAGGATGGGCGGGAAACAACCCCGTCCTCAGGCACCCCAACTGAGCAGCACAGAACCGAGGAGCGGGGCAGAAAATCTGCACAAAGCGGAGGGGCCTCCGGGGCCCAGCTACGCAGGCGGCACTGTGGGGGAGGGCCTCGGCCAGGCTGCAGGCCCAGCCCTGACTGCGGCTGTGATCCCCAGACGACCGGGCCCTCGACAGCAGAGCAGACTTGGGTGGGCCCCTCCCGGAGGAAGACGGCGACACCCGGAAGCTCAGAAACTTCCCACAGACATGTCTGCATTCGGGCACAACTAGATACTGCAAACACACAAACCCAAGAAAACAAAACAAAGACCTCCAGACCACAGTCGTCGGAATAATCAGACAGGAGCTACGATGAGCTGTTCAAGAAAGCGGAGCTCGAGCGGTCTGGGACGGAGACTGAGCACCTCCGAGGTGTGCCTGGAGAGCTATGAGAACACCAGACACCGGAGACCATATGGCGAGAAGCGCCAGTGGAGGACAAGAAGGCGGTTTTAGGAGCTCCTCCCAGGAAAAGTGCCCTGGCGTGTGGGCAGGCGGGAGGACACAGCGCGCAGCGCAGCCCTGGGGGTAATCTGCTGTGGGCCGGCACGTGCTTTGGTCCTCCTGCCCTTTCCCTTGGGAGCCCCAATCGTAGCCACTCTTTTTATGAAAACTATCAAAGATCTGGAACAAAAATCCATGTTAAAAGATGTTTATTACAGCACCGTCTAGAGTAGGAAAATATCAGCGAAAGTGATGGTTAGGAAGTTATGATGCATCCACGTATCAGTTATGACATGTCCATGTAATGAGACAGGCGATCGCTGCCAGTCATCCTTCCAACAAATACTCAGCGACGTGGACAGGTCTCCTAATGTCCTGCCAACTGACCACCTGTCGGGACGGTTCCCGTGTTACTGCAGCAGACGCGCGCACGCATCCAGTGTGTGCACACGGGGCACAGAGTGGGCACAGAGCCATGATCTGGGAACGACAGGGCCACCAGAGCTTCAGAGTGAGGACACCGCTGTTTCTACAACCAGAAAGCTAAGTACCTGGAGAGGCAGAGCCGCGACCGCAGGCCGCTCACCTTGTCGTCAGCCTTGATGGACCGCAGCCTCATGGTGAGCTGGAAGCGCAGGAAGTTGTTGGTGCCGATGGACTGGAGCTCCAGCAGCTTGCACAGGGCCACCAGCTGCGGCCGCGTCAGGTTATCCAGGGTCAGCTCGTCCTCAAACAACTTGGAGAAACGCAGGATCTCCTCATTGCTGGGTCTCTCGCCTGTCTCTCGGATCTGCGGGAGCAATCACGTGGGTGAGCCACTGGGCGGGGGGCACGCGCACGCGTGCGTATGTGTGCGTGCTCCCCGGCACCACCCATGGACTTGGGCCACAAGCCTCAAGTGAAGAAACAAAGGAGGATCAGCTGAAGAGCCCCGGACCATCCACACCCTCCGTTGGATCTGCCTTGTCATTACGCTCCTGCTGGGGAGCCGCCCCTCGAGGGCTCCACGCCCTGAGCAAGCCTGTGCTGGCTCCCCGTGGAGGACACCTCCATGCAGCACAAGGCCACCTGCTGCCCCCCTCCCGCCCGTGCAGAGCCGCGGCTACCGGCTGGCAAGAGGCTCCCCACTGTGGACGTAGCTGGGGAGCAGCCCCCAAGCCTGGCCCCCGAGCCTGGCCCTCCAGCATGTCACCACTGCAGGGTCTTAGTTCCTCATCTGCCAAACTCTACCTCCCCTGAGGCTGCTGCGAAGTCTGGAGACACAGGCAAACAATGGTGAATGTCAGCGAGGTTCAAGTTCTCAGGAGAGCAGGCCTGACCTCACTGAGTACGGGGCCGGGGTGGGGCTCCCGGTTACACCCCCTACAGCACTAGTCCACGCCTGTCGGGGAGCCCCACTCTTGCCGTGTGCAGTAGAGCAGAGAGAAGAAGTGAGGCAGTGAGGCATGCCCCCAAATAAGACGGGGCAGCCCTGAGGCTCTAACCAACACTTGGGACCCGTGGGCTGAGGCCACCAGGGCCCCAGAGCATCACAGCACCTTCTGGAAAAACACGGAGAAGTCTTTGGTGGCGTTCCCCTTGGCTGCCTTGTTCTTCAGGGCCATCTCCTCAATGGTATCCTGCAGGAACTTGGCCAGCTCCAGCTTGACCCGCAGCTCCTTCTTCAGCCTCTCTTCCTGCGAGGTCAAAGAGGGGGTGCTGCACTCCCCTGGCCCGCACCCCGGCCCCCCCACAGCTTCCCTGGCTGGCACCAGTCAGAGCAGTTGCTCCCAGTCCTCCGATGGGAACCACAGCATGGAGTTCACGGTAGCCCTCAACCCAGTGCCGCCACATCTCCCTGAACGGCATTCACTCCCACCCAGGACCCAGGTGCTACGCATTCTGAGACTTTCTCTTCCATTTCATGGTTTTAAAAAATACTTGGGTGGCCTCTTGGAGCAGGGCCGCCCCGTGACGCTTCTAAGCTCTGTGTGCGGTGTGGGGCCCATGGCTCTTACCCCCACGCACAGCCTCAACAGCTGGGCTAGAGAAACCGTATCCTAAAGCACGTTTACAGAGAAGCATGTCCGAAGCACGGCTGACTCACGAAGGTGACACGGGACACCTGAGCGTCAGCCACCAACAGTGCAGACGTCCTAACTGCATGCGCGTCCGCCCTGCCCTGAGCTCGCCGCCCCCGCCGCCCCGTCACCTTGATGGACTGGGTCTCGAATGTGGACGGCAACATATTGGGGAAGAGCTTCACAGCGACAGGAAGCAGGAACTCCATGAACGGCACCACCACAAAGACCAGGAAGGGGACCAGGCGAAAGAGGTCAGCGCAGATCCGGAGAAACTGGGAAAAGGCCGAAGGGGTCAGAGGGTGAGGCGACAACACTGCTCACGTGACCCTCAGAGGCGCGACCACAGGCAGCACCTGGCAGGGGTCGGCGAGAGCACGACGTCCCCGATGGCTCCGCCGCCTGCTCCCAAAGGCGGCTCTTCCTCCCGTGTCTAAAGCACGGAAGACAGCCTTCAGAGAGGAGGGGCGGACGCTCGCCCTAGCAGTGGCCCCGTCCCTTCATGCTCTGCCCACTGCGGGGGCCCTGCTCTGCAGGGACGGCCTGACACAGCCACGGCGCTGCCCACCGGGCCTGGGCGCCCCAGGACGGGAGCAGCAGGCCGACGACTGGCCGTAGCTGGCACCGGCCATGCCGCCCACCCCAAACGGTCAGCACAAAGGAAGAGTGTTGGCTGTGTGTTTCTCAGGACGGCCTGACTTAACCCTGCACTGCAGAGCAATGACTGACAAACATCCAAGTGCTTCATCAATAGAATCAACTACCGCTGAAGCCGTTAAAGAAACGCGCAGGTCGCAATCATCCAAATTCCCCGAGAGTGGACACTCCCTGCCACACCCCCAGGTAGCTCAGCTTTCTCTTCTCTCACGACCAGTCAACTACGGCTTGCACTCACAACTGCCTACGCTCACAGGCACCAAAGGCACTCCCGTGCACGTCCACGTGTCTGTGTCCACTGTCACGAACCAGACATGCTTTGGAAGAGCCACGTCAGTCCTAGAAACGGCTTCGTTTCGGCCTCATCTGACACTTATGATTGGGCTCGTGGTCCATCCCCGCTGGAGCCCGGCTCCCTAAGTGCTGGCGACCCCTCTTGTCTGTCAGGAGCCACCTGGCCCTCGATGGTGTGCGCCCTGAGTTTGTGGATGACGCACCTGAGGCTTTTCTCCCTAGACGGCACTCATCTGGCTCTTCTCAAACCAGTCTGTACTCTGCGGGGCACAGAGCCGGGACCCCCAACCTGAACCTATCTCCTCATTTACAAACCTCGCACGTTCACTTTCCTATTTATTGTCAAAACAGATTCACGGATTCCTATATTTCTTCATTTGTTTACAATTCATTACTATTTTTATTTTTATATTCAAATGGTCCAGGATTCGACCATGGAAAGACCCTTCAAGTTGATGTGGTTTTTGACATTCGTCCATTAATTTTTTTGTTAGTAGTTCTATTGAGCTTTAATTTACATTCCATAACATTCACCACTAAGTGTGTAATTCAATGATTTTTGGTAAATTTACAGATTGTGAAACTATCACCATAACCCATTTTTAGAACATTTTTGTCATGCCATAAAGTTCCCCATGTCCATCTGTAGTCAACCTGCGTTTCTACCCTCAGCTCGAGGCAAATAGCAAATTGATTTGTTTCTGTAAATTTGCTTTATTTGGACATTTCCCATACGTGGAGCCATACAATATATTCTTTGGCATCTGGCTTCTGTCATTAGGTACATAAATGTTTAGGAATGTTCTATCCTTCTGCCGACTTGACCCCTTTAGCATCATGAAATGCTGGACACCAGGATGACCTTCTCATCTTTGCTCTGCTGTCACCACAGTCTGGCGCTCAGAAGGCCTGGCCAGCCTTCTTCTGTCAGCACCACTTCCCTTTCCCCACTGTTTCACTTGGAATCTATTTGTCTTTACATTTAAGGTGTGTTTCTTGTAGACTGCACAGAGTTGGGTCTTGTTTTTAATCATATAATCTCAACCATTTAATCAATAAAACTAAAAAAAGGAAAACCATACGACCATCTAAACAGATGCAGGGGCACCTGGGTGGTGCAGTCGGTTAAGCAGCTGACTCATGATCTCAGCTCAGGGGGTGATCTCAGGGCCGTGAGATTGAGCCCTACGTCAGGCTCCACAGTGGAGCCTGCCCAAGACTCTCTCTCCCTCTCCCCCCCCCCCCAAACAAAACAAAACAACACAACCCACCACAGCAAAAGATACCAGAATAATGGACTTCGGTAAATCTGTAAGACACAAGATCAATATATAAAAATCAGTAGTACTCCTGGGGCGCCTGGGTGGCACAGTCAGTTGAGCATCTAACTCTTGGTTTCGGCTCAAGTCCTGATCTCAGGGTGGTGAGATGGAGCCCCTGGTCGGGCTCTGTGCTGGGTGGGGAGTCTGCTTGGGATTCTCTCTCTTTGCATCCCCCACTCATGCACACACGAACGCTCTTTCTCTTTCAAATAAATAAATCTTTTTTTTTAAGATTTTATTTATTTATTTGAGAGAGAGAGAGACACTGTGAGAGAGGGAACACAAGCAGGGGGAGTGGGAGAGGGAGAAGCAGGTTTCCCGCCGAGCAGGGAGCCCGATGCGGGGCTCGATCCCAGGACCCTGGGAAGGCAGACGCTTAATGACTGAGCCACCCAGGCGCCCCTCAAATAAATAAATCTTTAAAAAGAAACCAGTTGTACTTCTATATATAGTAGACCCTTGAACTCCACAGAGGTTAGGGGCAGTGACCCTCCCACCCAGTCAAAAATCCACGTATAAATTTTGACTCCCCCCCAAAAGGTAATTGCTAAGAGTCTCCTGTTGACAGGAAGCCTCAGTGAGGACAAGAACAGTCGATGAACACGCATTTTCTGTGCTGTAGGTATCATATGCTGTATTCTTACAATAAAGCCAACCCCCCCCCAAAAATACTAAGAGAATCTTAAGAGAAAGTACATTTGCAGGAGTGTGTATGTTTTTTATGTTTATACATTTATTAAAAAATCTGCACATAAGTGGATCCACACAGTTCAAACTTGTGTTGTTCAAGGGTCAACTGTACTAGCAATTGACAACTGGAAACTGAAATTTCAAAGACTCCACTTACCTACAAGAGCCAAAAGATGGAAGAACCCAAGTGTCCATGGAAGGACGGATGGATGGATAAACAAAACAGACACACAACCCACATGGTGGAGTGTTCTTCAGCCTTAAACAGGAAGGAGACTGACACCTGCCACCACCTGGATGGACACTGAGGACACTGTGCTGAGTGAAGTGAGCCAGCCACCAAGGGACGAATGCTGTGTGACATGAGGCCCGCAGAGGAGTCAGATCACAGGGACAGGAAGTAGATGGTGGGTGTCGGGGGGCCGGGGAGAGTGTGGGGAGGGGCAGAGTTTCGGTTTGGTAAGATGGAAGAGTTCTGGAGATGGAGGGTGGGGACGTTCACAACAATGTGAAGGTATTCAGTGCCACAGAAGCATATACATAAAAATGGTTAAAAGAGTAATTTTAGATTGTGTATTTTACCACAATAAAAAATTCCATTTGTAATAGCATCAAACAATATGACACCGTACAATACTGCTAAAAGAAATGAAAAAAAAATTGTTTTATTCCGCATTGACAACCCCCCGAAGTGCCCCCCTTGTTTATTTTCGGGTCTTTCCTTACTTTCCAACACAGGCCCATCCGATGTGGTATACAAGCTCATCTCGTAGCACTGCTGGTGAGCACTGTCTCTGAGGAGCCCTGGTTCTTCCTTGTGGAGCGGTTAGAAGCCAAGGGCTGGGGGCCAAGTGTCACGCCTGCCACACCTGGTCACCACACTGAAGGGAGCAGAGGCTGGAGCGGGTAACAGTCTAACAAAGCCAGAGACTGTCAGGAAATAACGCCTCAGAGAGAAACCGCACTAACTCTCGATCACGCGCCTGGTGTCAAAGGATGGACCAGCAATTTCACCATCCTAAGAGCATCACCACATGGTGAGCATCAGCACTCTAACATGCTCCACCTGAAGCCAGCAACTGGAGGGAAAGCTCTAGAGGGAGGAGCCATGAGCATACTGGGGAGGCAGAGAATCAACCCCCCCCCCCGCCAGCTCCCCAGAGACCCCGGGAGCCCACCAAGCAGGCCCTAACTGCACCTCTCCACGGACAGCTGCGTCCGATGTCAGCTGCACATTGTCCCGGATGGAAAACCAGGACCCGGAAGCATCTAGAGCGCACGCAGCTAATTCGAGCACGAACGGAGGCCCATGACGGCACCGTCTCTGCCCACACGGCCACCTGACACACGGTCAACAGATGTGCACTGTGACCCTGAACACCCAGCGCTGCCGCTGAGCCATCTCCGTGGCTAAGCCACGTCTCCTGCGACAGGGCACAGAAGCACCCCCTCCAGCAAACACTGCAGGTCCATGGGGCCCAGAGTCAGAGGACAAAGCTACTCTCCGGGTACTCGTATCCCACAGGAGTCCCACACAGTTCTGTCACTCTCTACTTAACACGATCAGCAAGCATCCAGCAGTTGCGTGACCTTAAATTCACACTTCAAATGTACCTCCCGCTTACACAATACTTACACAAATTATTTTACAATCTCTTTGCCTTTGTAAACATAATTTAACAGTCACTTTTCTATAATTATCAGGACTGCCAACGTTTTGTTCAAATTCGAAGTACCTACAAGGCCCTAAACCGAGGGAAAAAAGCATTGCTCCACAAGCCCCCTCCTTAAAGCTGGCAACACGGATGCGCGGCCTCAGCCAAGCCCGTGTCCACACTGGGACGTCGCCCTGGAACGGGCTCATCTGCTCCAACTCTGTTTTTTCTTAAAGTTTCACTGTCTTCAATGAAGTAGCAAACACATGCACCTTTCAAGGCAGAATGGGATGGGGGAGGAGCAGAAGGGAGTCCAGGTCATAGAGCATTAACTTGTGTGCTGTAATCAACACCCAGCGAGCGCTAAGAGCACGATTCTGAAATCCCAACGCCACTGCTCCTTCCTCCAATCCTCAACCTGCTCCCTCCTAAAACAGCATCTCAGGGGACACTCCAGCCAGTTAAAACAATGACCCATGTTCTCCATGAAGTTCCCGAGAACTAGCATAAAATCAGAAGCCAAAGTAACTCTCATACATGACAGCCAATTCCTAAGATCCTCTGATCTTAAGAGGATCAAGAGAACAGACATCACTGCACCTCTCCTTGGGGAATCTGAGGGTGCTGAGAATGTTAAAGCCAAAAAAAAAAAAGAGCAAGAGGGGAAGAAAGAAAGGTCAACGGTGTAACCATCAGTTACTTCAGACAAAATAAGAGACCTAAAAGGTCTGGGCTCCTGGAAAAGCAGGAAGACTTTTTTAAGAGCTGGGGGATGGCATGGGGCACCTGGGTGGCTCAGTCGGTGAAGCGTCTGCCTTCTGGCTCAGGTCACGATCCCGGGGTCCTGGGATGGCGCCCGCGTTACTGGGCTTCCTGCTCGGCCGGAAGCCTGCTTCTCCCTCGGCCTCTGCCCCTCCCCCCAATTGTGCTCTCTCTCACTCTCGCTCCTCTCTCTCTAATAAGTAAAATCTTAAAAAAAAAAAAGAGCTGGTGGACGGCACGCCACGCTGAGCCAGAAGCTCGGGCAGAGGGGGCGGGTGAGCAGGCAGGTTCTGGGGCTGAGGACACACGTCCGGCGGAGAGGCAGTGCCGCCGTCAGCGTGTCTCACAGGGAGGGTCGAAGGCTGGCTTTTCTGTGTTCTTTTTTTAAAAACCAGAAGTGGCAGAAAAAAGCTCTACACGTATGTTAAAGCACCTAGAAGGGGAATGCGCCAGGAAGTCTCGCATGCCCATTACCTGCCTGCGCTCTCTGCGGGTCAGGCTGTGGCCGTGGAGGATTCGCCAGAGCATGCGCGCGGCGATCTTGGTGTCAATCCAGAGCAGGCGGAAGCCGTGGTAGTAGTGCTTCAGCTCGTCCAGGACCCTCTGCCCCAGCGACTGCTTCACGGCCACCTCCGGGGGGGGGCTGTACACGGGGCCGCCCTCCTCCAGCTTCTTGTTCTTGTCCTTCAGGGACTTGAGGGACTTCTCCACCACAGAGTCATCGCCCAGCGGGGGCGACGAGTGCCAGCAGCGCGAGGGAAGGAATGGTGGCCCCGGGACAACCAGACTGGCGGAGGCGGGGGCCCACGGCACTCCAGCCGCCGAGCACACGCGCTCGGGCCTCGGAGTCCAATAGCCACGGGGATCGGTTCTGAAGGACAGGTGCACGGGGTGGGCGGGAGTGCAGCAGCGAAATGGCATGTTCCTTGAAAAGGGGAAAAGGGAAACAGCGATGAGGAGCCAGCCACTGTCTACGACCTCCCAGCACCACATACCGACGAGAACGGCACAAACCGAGCCGTATCACAACAACACGTAGCACACTCAACCTTCCTGGCACGTGAAACAGACTCCCCACTGCTTCCTGATGCTCAGAAAACACATCAGGAAGAGGAGAAGCTGCTTGCAAGGGGCTTGTGCAAGAGACCAAGGGCAGCCAGTCCCCGTGGGCTCATGGAGGACACCAGGACACCAAGGAGCCTGGGCAGGGGCTAGGGCCTGGGGTTAAGGGACAGGCTGGACACAAACAGCAGAAGCCTGACCTCTGCACTAGAGAGACCCAACCTTGGGGCAGATCTCCCATGTGGGTTCCCAGACTTGGGGAATTTGGGGTGGGGCAGGGTCGAGGGCGGGGTCCTTTCCCCTACCAGGTGACTTTCTACAAAGACCTGCAGCTCTTGAGCAAGTCCTGGAAGTCAGTGAGGACACTCGAATCAATGGTGACCCAACCCTGTGTGCAGTCCAGCAAAGATGTTTGTGCAAAATGGCAAAAACCCAACAAATCACATCCAGAGCCCACTCCTCCCTCTCTCCCCCGTGCTGCTCCCTCTGCTCAGCCCAGAGCCTCAATTACAGCCCAGTGCTGGAGCAACTTACCTGCACGATTCTCAGAACCCCACCATCTTCTATGTACCTCACCTGTCCTACCGGAAACCTCCTCCCTCCCTGGTGCACAAACCCGCTTCTGGGAGGCCACAGGCTCCCAACTTAACCTCAGAGGCGTGTGCTTATAAGCAACACGCCCCAGCCTCTTCCCATCTGCTGGATCATCTCACTGCACCTGGCCCAACACCAGCAGAGAGGACCTGAGCTCTCCAGCTGCCTGTCCCAGTTCAAATTCCAATTCACTACTTATTGCTGTGAGACCTTGGGCAACTTAATTAACCCCTCTGTGCTTCGGGAACGTCCTCTGTAAGTGGGTGTGGTAATATATATGAAGTACCCAGAACAGTGTCTGGCACGAGCAACACCGACCAGAAAGGTGGCAGCTATGGTTACTCTCCCATCAGAGCAGCTGAGGGCTGGAAGGAAGCTAGTGAGTGTCCAGTTCAGCTGCACCTTTTACGCATGGGGAATACCGAAGGACAAACAGGGACGTGCCCACCTCAGGCATGGGGCACCGCTGGCCTCCCGTCGATCAACCCCGTGCTGGCCTCCTGCCTGTCTGCAAGGGCAGGGTCAGTCCTGTGCCATGAACCCCAGGTCCCCACAGTCAACTCCTGAGCGGGAAGGTGGTGGCCTTGAGCTCACCCTGCTGGGTCACAGCTGGGAGGGGCAGGCTGCACGGAGCACAGCAGAGCTGCTCAGCCACGTGGGGCTGTGAGACCGTGGCCACAGCCTGGGCCCTCCGTGCCTCGGCCTCACTTCCCAGTGCGGGCGATGACAATGCCCACACACAGGAAAAAACCTTACCTCCTATCCCTGTCAAACTTAATTATCCCATTTTCCAACCCTCAATTAGCAAAAGGAAGCAAGTGGCTTCCCTGAGAAGGCATGATGTCAGCAGCTGCAGGGGGCGGCCCACAGGCACAGACAGACTCGTGAAAACGGAGCAAGCAGAAGAGCACCTGGCGTATCCAGCTGGGCCCAGTGACGCTCCAAGAGCTGGCTATCTTCACGCACACTAGAGACTAGCATTACTACCAATCTAGCCAGAAAGGTTTAGCTACTTTCAAAAAGCATAAAACTGCATAATCTGTTATTTCAAAAATATTCGTCAAAATAACACTAATCTGCGCACGGCTGCCTTCCCATGGGCAGCTGGGGCCCTGCTCTGCCCCAGCTCACGAGAGCCCCTGGCTCGGCCTTGCTCCCGAGAAGCGCGCACCCGCCCCACCCACACAGGGTCAGTAGGCCCCTGTCCTTCTCCTGCTTTTCCTCTTTTTTCCCTTCAAAGTGGGGAAAACCCACTCCGGGCAAAAGCAGCGTGTCAACAAGAAATTCGCAGTCACTAGAGGACAGGCTATTGGCATTAGAGCTTGGGGGCTCCTATCAAAGCTGCCCATTTTACTTCAGGTTGCTGATGCCTACGTCCACCTCAACACACACAACTTGCTGCCACCTTCAAGAAAAGAAAAACCAAGGACACCCTGGCTGGCTCAGTAGGCAGAACATGTGACTCTTGATCTCGGGCTTGTGAGTTTGAGCCCCACACTGGGTGGAGAGAGGACTTAAAAAGAAAATCTTAAAAAAAAAAGGAGAGAAAAACTAAGTCGTGGGGCCCCTGGATGGCTCAGTCAGTTAAGCGTCTGCCTTCGGCTCGGGTCATGATCCCAGGGTCCTGGGATCGAGTCCCGCATCGGGCTCCCTGCTCCGCGGGAAGCCTGCTTCTCCCTCTCCCTCTGCTACTCCCCCTGCTTGTGCTCTTTCTCTGTCAAATAAGTAAATAAAATCTTAAAAAAAAAGAAAAACTAAGTCGTGCCTGGCAAAAGAACACATTCACGGGGTCAGCACTTCCCGTGCCTTGTGGCATCAGCCGCACAACCACAGGGTGGCATGGCAGGCAAAGGGACCCGCACCGGCTCTCCCCGGGGCACCTCCCTAACTCTTGTCAACGGCAGAACTCCTGTGCCCACTCGACTCCTAACATGTCCCGTTCCCGAGGGGACAGCTCACCCAGACGATGGCCTGAGGCTGGGCCAGGGAGGATAGCAAGCCTCCACGTGCCACCTTCCATTCTTCAGGGACATGATGCCGGCAAGGGCAAAGTGACACGAGCAGCAAGAAGGGAAGCAAAGACCGACAACTGAGCAACAGGTACCAGGACCGAGCGCAGGCCATCTCTCTGCCCAGAGACAAGAGGTGAAACAGCGCTTGCCTACAGGACAAGGGGCCCCTCTGCCGGGGAGCCGGAGACCACTGCCTGCAACATCCCAACACCTGTCAGAGCCCTCGAGGCCCCACGACAGCACACCCTGTGCCAGGAGCACTCCAGGGCCCGGGGAAGCGGCTAGCACCACCATTTTCGCATTTCGGCAGCCCGTCTTATGAGCACTCGCGCTGCACCAGACTCTGGAAAGAGCCTCACGGCAGGGCAGCCCCACTCTTCCTACGGAATGAGCTCCAGGACTAACGAGTTAGTTTGCTTATTCCCAATTTTAGGTGCTCCCTTGCTGTCTTTATTTTTATGATAAAGGAGGTCAAGAGCAGCCAGACAATGCCCATGACATTGTCTTGGATCAGAAACTCCTCACCTGCTCACCGTTTGGGGTCTGGACCATTTTAGCTGAAGACTGAGATCGCAAAAGAACCAACAGAGAGAATCACACTGGCCTCAGAACAACGCAGACTTCTGTGGCTGGACCCACTTACGCGTGGAGGTTTTCTGATAAAGGCAGGACAGTCCTGTAAGTACATTTTCCTTACGATTTTTTGCCTAGCTTGCTTTATTGTAAGAACGCAGCACATGATACATGAGATATGTGCGAACTGACCATTATGTTCAGCAAGGCTTCTGGTCAACAGCTGGCTAGCAGCAGTTCAGCTTGGGGAAGTCAAGTCGTATGTGCATCTTCCACTGCCCAGGGGTCGGCGCCAGACCCCTCCCTGCATTGTTCAAGGGTCACCTGTCCTTATCCATGTGCCTCAGTATTTCTTATACTGAGTCATCAAAAGGAAAAGCAACATATCCAGGATCCCTGGGTCCGGGGATTGAGCCCTGTGTCGGCCTCCCTGCTCAGCGAGAGCCTGCTTCTCCCTCTCCCACTCCCCCTGCTTGTGTTCCCTCTCTTGCTGTGTCTCTCCCTGTCAAATAAATAAATAAAATCCTTAAAATATCAAATCAAATCAAATCAAACCCATGATTGGGGCCCCTGGGTGGCTCAGTCAGTTAAGCATCTGCCTTCGGCTCAGGTCATGATCCCAGGGTCCTGGGATGGAGCCCCACATCCGGCTTCTTGCTCAGCGGGGAGTCTGCCTCTCTCTGCTGCTCCCCAGGCTTGTGCTCTCTCTCAAATAAGTAAAACATTTTTTTAAAAGATTTTTAAAAATTTATTTATTCATTCGAGACACAGAGATAGAGAACATGAGCAGGGGGGAGAAGCAGAGGGAGGGGGAGAAGCGACATGGGGCTCGATCCCAGGACCCTGGGATCATGACCTGAGCTGAAGGCAGACGCTTAACCACCTGAGCCACCCAGGCGCCCCTCAAATAAATAAAATCTTAAAAAAAAAAAAAAAAATCAAACCCAAGAGCCAGGTGGGAGTACTCTTGCAACAGGCAGGGGCCAGCAGGGACTGCTGCTGGGAGGGGGTTTGAAACAGACTCTGTTGTGTCCCCACCATACCCTGCATGTGTGCCAACCCCACTCCACAGAGACACTCACACATGCAAGAAAAGCCTCGCAAGCCCGCTGTGTTTAAGCACAATTTTGCTTTACCATCAACCAAGTTTTCGTGTATGACTTACATAGTTTTTATTTTAGGGAATTAAATCTGTTCCAGGAAGGCATTCTCCAGAAAAGTGTTAGAGCCAAGATGAGGTGACAAATGAACCATCTCAAATGAGTAAGAAAACTCCGAAGACCCCATGGCTCCATGGTTGTGAGGGGCACTTGGGAAGAGGTCTGCACTCTCCAATTGGAAGAATCAGAGATGTCCGAAGGGAGAGATGGGCTCTACTCTGGGTTTCTGGGGCAAGAGGACAAGGGCCTGGGAGTCAGGAGAGAGGTCGGGGCATCTGACCACGCAGGTGGGGGAGGGCATCACAAAGAAACTATGCTCGGGGATGCTGGATAGAGGGAATGGTGGGTGGGAGAGCACAGGAACCGAGGGAAGTTCGAGTCCATGTGCGACAGTGCACAGGGAAGTATGGATGCCACTTCCTCCAGGAAGCCCTCCAGCCTTGCAAAAGCACCACTGTGGGGAAGGGCTAAGTCTACCACATTCCAGGCATGTCCCCAGAACCAGGTGGGGGAGAGCCCTGTGGCCAGCAGTCACTCAACATGATGCTCTGCGAAGGACCAAATGGGGTTCAAGGGAGGGTCTAATGTGTTCACTGCAGAGTCCAACACCTACAATGCTGCCTGGCGGCACATCCTATGTCTCTTTGCACAAGTGCATGAAAAGCCACTGACAACAACAGACGTGGGAGCGTGGAAAAGCACACAGTGCATGGTAAGTACACAGCACTGTCTGTTTTGAAAAATAGACATATGAAAAAAAGACCAGAATAAAATACACTGAAATGTAGTAATATTTACAACAAGTACTGGAATTATGAATGTTTATTTTCCAAGGATCCACTAACGTATAAGGTTATATACTTCAAAATACAAAGATAAAAGCTAAAAAGAAATAAAAACAAAGAACAGAAAGGTACAATATACTGTCTCCCCAAAAGCAGGAGTCACACATCAGTCAAGCATTTTCAAGCTCCCACTTCCACTGGACATACAGTAACGTTGTTGACTTACAGGTGGCTTATCAGCCCCACGGTGCTGGCACAGCCGAGACAGGCACGAGCTCCCAGACTACCTACGACAAAGACGAGGAGAAAACAAGATGTAAGTCTCAAACCACGGGCTGTAGACGGATACCACCTTTTAGACTCTCCTTTGCAGAGTAAGTTTCTAGAAGCCTGTTCTGTGTTGGAAGGTTTCAGAGTGTTGCAAGTGAAGGGTCTGTCCAGTTAGGAACACGGGGTCTTGGGGTAGCCTTAGGAAAGAAGGGGAATCTGAGGCAGCCCCCGGCTTCAAACACCCCAACCAGGGACACCAGGTTCCACCAGCCAAGGGTCCACAGAGCCCAGGCCTGGGGGTCTCCCCAGGCAGGACCACTCCCTACTCGCTCCAGCTGATGCCAGGTTGCACGGGACTCCCAACGCACAGACAGCCCCATAGAGCAAGCAAGGGCCCCATCCAAACAACCCAACACCTTCTCTGCCCACAGGAGGGGGCGAGGGCTATGAGAATTATTGGTAAAACAAATGCCAAGAGCAAGCTATTTCTTGGATAAACACCATTGATGAATGTACAGCACATGGATTTTGATGTATTTTTTGACACTTTTTCTAATTCAACGTGGCTTCCGTAGCATAAATTCAGAGTTCGTTCTCATGACCAATGCTCAGGCTTACCTGTGATCAAACCCTGTGCTGTGGAAACCACCTGTGGAGGGAACGAGACAGATACTAGGGGCAGTGGGGCCAGAGGCACCGTGCTGAGAGGATGCCAGGCAGCAAGGCTGGAAAGGCAGGCTGGCATCCTAAGACCCTCCGGCAGCAGGAGAGCACAGAGCAGGTGCAGAGTGCTGAGGGCTCACTCCGACAGCCAGCTGAGAGGGAGGAGAGAAGACGGGCACAGCAGGGGACAGGTGCCAACTCCAAGACACCCTCCAGCAGGCCAGGCAGGGGAGACCCGAGCTGCTCCCAGCGGACCCTCTGCAGACAAAGACTTCCACTTGTCACTTCATGTATCTCAAGTGGAGCCCAGGGTCATCACAGGCAACTTCTCCTGTGTAGAAGGCTATTCCCATCAAATTTAGGACCTTGTAGGACAGGTGACAGCCTTGATTAAAGCTGGGTCTGGGCTCCCAAGTGGTTACCATGATTCATCATCTTTTATATTTCAAACATTACATTTTTAGTCACACCAAGCCCTCTTCACCCCAGCTGAGGACCAAACAGAAGTGTCCCAGACCTGGGCCAGCCCCGCACCCCGAGAACATAGCTCAGCAATGGCTCCTGGTGCTGCACCTCCCCCCCAGCAAGGAGACAAGCTGTCACAGCTCCCTGGCCTGCCCTCCTATCACTATGTTGTGTGAACTGCACATCCCCTGTCCTACCTGGCCCCTTCCCACAATCTCCCCACTCTGAAGGCTTCCCCAGCCCTCTAAGGGGCCCACTCCAGAGGGATGGGGTGGGGAGAGGACTCCGGGATATGGGCCACAGATGGGCCATTCCCTCCTTCTAGAAGTCCCTTTAATTTCCCCCCCCCAACAACCAATTCTACAACTCTCTGGCCCCAGCTGGGCAGCCTACCATTAGGTTCTGTCTGACCCTACCCGGAGTTAGTGCATACCCACAGGTTATTAAGGGCTCAGTCCCACAAGACTGCTCCGCTTCGGCCACCAGTTGCAAGTAGGGTTCTCAGGTCACCCACACTTCTGCCAGCTACAAATATGAGGGTTCCCACCACCACTTTCAGTTTTATTAATTCTCTGGAACAACACAGAACTCAGGAAAATTCTCTATTTCCTATTATAGTTTATTGTAAAGGACATGAGGAACAGCCAGATGGTGAGGTACATAGTGCAAGGTGTAGAAGACTCCTGAGTGCAGGAGCCTCTGTCACTGTGGGGTCAGCATCTACAGATGCCACCAATTCCAAAGCTCCCCAAGCCTCCCTATTCAAGAGTTCTTTTCTTATCTTCATTACCTAGACATGACTGACTATACCCTAGGCCACAGGCAATCGATTTCAATCCCCAGACCCCCCTCTCCTCCCTGAAGGCTGGGATTCTACAATAGAGCTGAACAGTCCTCAAAACTGTCAAGGAAAGCCTGAGAAACATATCACAGCCAAGACTAAAGAGAAATAACAACTACATGTAATGTGGTGTCCTGGATAAGGTCCTGGGATACAGCAAGACATCAGAATTAAAATGTGCACAATAAAGGAAAGGTACTAATAAAAAAACAAATGCGAATAGAGAGTATGTAAATAACAAAGTAAAAAAAAAATCAGAATAAAGTGTGGGACAGAATAAAAGAAATCTGAATACAGTATGGAGCTCAGATAATAACAATGTACCAATGTTGGTTTACTAATTGTGACAATGAACCACACTGACAGAAAAGGTTAATACTGAGGAAATGTGCTGCAGAAAAGGGCCCCTGTGCCCAGATCGGAGTGTTTTGGAGGGTCCAAGACTGGACTCGAAGTCCAGTCCTGGGTCTCCAGGACTCTGGATTCCCTGTTGGTCCTACAGCAAACCCAATGTCTGAGCCACTCTCAGCCCCTTCCTGTATAATAAAGAACAGTGCTAACTACAAGAAACATTTGTGCTCCCAAAATGATACAACCACAAAAACAAATTCCGCTCACCTTTTTTTTTTTTTTAAGATTTTATTTATTTATTTATGAGAGAGAGAGAGAGAGAGAGGCAGAGGGAGAAGCTGGCCTCCCGCAGAGCAGAGAGCCCGATGCGGGGCTCGATCCCAGGACCCTGGGATCATGACCCGAGCCGAAGGCAGACGACCAACGACTGAGCCACCCAGGCCCCCGTAATTCAGCTCACTTTTAAACCATGAACTACTACAGAAACATGAAGTGGCCAAAGTATTTTTATTACCATGCTTAGAAGAGATACAAGGAGAACTCTAACAACAGAGGGACCTGGACACCCAGACTGTTCACACTGTCCCTTCTGGCTGCTCAGCGCCCTTCCCATGGCTCCAAAGTTCTAAGCAGCCAACCAGCCATTATGTAAAAAATTACAAGAATTATGTTCCTTGGGGGTGTTTTTGTGAATCGTAAGGTACTTTGAAATATATTTCACTTGAGTCTCTAATGTTCATAAGAGAAGTCCTAATCTTAACAGACAAGGAACAAACTCAGAAAGGTTAATATGTAAGAAGAATCAGAAAGGGAGTCCGGGCTACTGACATGTGGACCCCTAAGAGCCCCGAGTTAGGTGTGACCTCTGCGTAGGCAGTATGGTCACTGAGGCTGGGGTCACCAAGGGACCTGCCTGGGACCATGCCCAGCAAGGCCTGGGGCCCCTCTACAGACACCCGAGAGTACTAGGAGGATACGCGCCCCACGGACGTCCTACAGGTCCGCAGACCCAGCTCGTCCGTGTCTGCCAGACCCTGGCCATCTCCCCTCAAGAGTCCTCAACGTGGCCCAAGGGCACGACTATCCTCGCGAGTGAACACCGCGTTCCACCAGCTTAACCCCGACAGGAGCGCCCAGACAGTGTAGGGCTGACCGTCAGCGCGCTCCCTTCAAAAAACCTTCCAAACCCCGCTCAGGACGCCGCGGCCAGCAGCCGGGCGGCTAAGGTCACAGCGCGAGTGAGTCACAGGCCGCCGCCCCGCCCGCGGCACCCACACCCCGACAACGGGCTGGCCGGGGCGGGGCTGAGGGGCGAGGCGGCCCAAGGTGCCGGCACGGCGTGACCCCAGCCCCGGGCCGCGTCCGAGCGCCCCGACCCAGCCACCCAGCCACCCAGCCACCAGAGCGCCGCCGGGCGCTGGGGCGCCCAGCCCGGCAGCTGGGGCCCGAAGCCCTCGGCCGCCCGCCCGGCCGGACATCCGGCCCCCTGCTCCTGTCCTCCCAACGGCCCTGGTCCGGGCCCCGGCCCCGGCCCCGGAGCCCCGCCGCCGCCGGCCCCAGCCCCTGCCCCAGCCCCCACCCGGCCCCCGCCGGCCCCGGCCCCCGGCCCCCGGCCCCGCGCTGTCGGCGCAGCGCCGGCTGCTTACCCCTCGGGGCGGCGGCGCGGGGCGGCGGGAGGCGGGTGGGCCCCCGGCCGCGGCAGCTCCTCAGTAAGATGGACGCCATGTGCCCGGTCGCGGCGGCCGCTCCGGCTTCCTGCTGCCGCCTCCCCCTGCGCGGAGGCCGCGGCTGCTCGCCGGCCCGCCGGCGCCTCGGCCCGCCCGCGCGGACGGTTGAAAGCGGCGGTTGGCTCCCGGCGGCGGACGCTCAGCTCAAGGACCCGGCACCGGCGGCAGCCATGTCCCCTCGCAGCGTCCGGCGGCGCGGGGCGGGGCGGCCGGGCCTCCGCTCCCATTGGGCCCCTCGGGCGCCCGCCGCCGCCGAGCGCGGGGCGCGCTCGCGCCGCCGCGAACTACGGGTCCCGGCGTGCCCCGCGACGGCCAGCCCCCGAGGCCGCGCGGCATCCTGGGGCCCGCCGCGCCGGCCGCGCACGCGTGCTGGGCCCTTCCGTGCCGCGGCGGTGGCGGGTCGACGCGCAGAGGCGCGGGCCTCGTGGGGCGCTCGGGGGCGGGCCCCGCGGAGGGACGCCGCCGGGCCGGCTTGTGTGGCCGAGCTCCTGCTAGCTGTCGGTCCCGTCCCGAGCCAGCGCACGAAGTCTCGAAGGGCCCTCCCCGGGTCCAGGCCCAGGGCGGCGCCCCGCCGAGCGCTCGCACGCCTGCTCCCAGAAGGCCTTCCGCCCAGCCCGGACCTTCGAGCCCACACCCCCTCTTTCCTAAGATGGGGTCACGTTCGCAATGGTCGTGCGGGGACGGATGAGGTGACGCAGGGAAAGCAGGCCGGGGGAGATGGGGTGGGCGGCCCCTGGGGCCCGGTGGACATGGTCTCCCCAGGCAGGCCGCTCGCACCAGCCTGCGCTCCCAGCCCGGGGGCCCCAGGCTCCTCCTCGGGACTAGCCACCCCGCTTTCCCCGTCCCACGCTTTGCTTGGAAGGCCTTTTGCCTCCTTCCGGCCTCGTTTGCTGGTCTCTTGTTCACTGATGTAATTAATCCCAGGGTACCGCTTAGGGAAGGTCCGGCAGTGCATACTCAGTGCGAATCTGTTCTCGGGCTGCGCAGTGTGGAACTCCTAATCTTAGCAGGCTCCCGCTCCTGAGAGACTGAATTTGGTTGTATGGCATGTCTCCCTGGGAGGCTCAGCCCTCGCCATCAGGAAGAAATAGCCTGACCGCAGTGGTTTTCCTTCCCAGGACTGCCAGATGCTGAGCTGGGATGGGCCTGGAGTCCCCAGCTGAGGTGGGAGAAGATGGAGCTAGTTAGTGCGGGGCACTTGGGAGATAGAAGTGCTTGCATTAGCGCTGGGCAGTGAGCGCTACAGACGTCATACTCAGTTAACCCAAGCAGGTCGATGCCTGCAGCTGAGGCCTCCAAGGTCAAAAGAACATAAAGCCAGGCTCCTTTCCTGTACATCCCCCAGGAGGCAATGGTGGAATAAGGAAGGACAGTTCTTGGGCGCCTGGGTGGCTCAGTTGGTTAAGCGACAGCCTTCGGCTCAGGTCATGATCCTGGAGTCCCGGGATCGAGTCCCGCATCGGGCTCCCTGCTTGGCAGGGAGTCTGCTTCTCCCGCTGACCCTCCCCCCTCTCATGCTCTCTCTATCTCATCCTCTCTCAAATAAATGAATAAGATCTTTAAAAAAAAAAAAAAAAGGAAGGACAGTTCTTGTCCCCCATCCCAGGATCAGGTCTGAGTCAGGGCAAATAGGTGCTCAGGATCAGACAGGACTGGCCTTCCAACGCCCAAAGTGTAGGAGAACGCTTGTGTTAGTGCTGGTAGCTGAGTAGCTGACATTGGCCCTCAGCTCCCAAAGGCTCTGTTCCAAAGCCGTCAAGGGGCAGGGAGGGAGGCTCCACAGAGTGGGTGAGAATCACAGCTGGTCCCTAACAATGCTGTTAGTGTCTGCAGGACTTTGAAGGACAATGGATGGGGGGAAGGCCCCATCTGCCTCTGTATTGCCCAGGGGCCAGGTGTGAGGAAATAAGGCAACAAAGCTCACTTGCCCTTGGCACGATTCACCTGTGACCCAGCTAGGTTGCATGAGAGAGAGAAGAAAAAATAGGGTCTCTATAGAGGGGGTGCTTCTGAACACCCGTCTGTGATGCTTTCTGCAGGTCCACTGCCAGGGTGGAATTTTGGAGAAAGTCATTTTTAACAATACCTTTATTGGTTTTTCTTTTTTCTTTTGTTTTTAAGATTTTATTTATTTGAGAGAAAGTCAAGCATGGGGAAGGGCAGAGGGAGAAGCAGGCTTCCCGCTGAGCAGGGAGCCGGATGCGGGGCTCGACCCCAGGACCCTGGGACCATGACCTGAGCCGAAGGCAGATGCTTAACGACTGAACCACCCAGGCGCCCCCCCCCCCTTTATTGGTTTTTCTGATTAGCTAGAGAACATGTGCTTGTTATAAGCATTTTAAGTTTATAAAAATAAATATAAAGCGGCGCCTGGATGGCTCAGTTGGTTGAGCACCTGCTTTCGGCTCAGGTCATGGTCCCAGGGTCCTGGGATCGAGCCCCACCTCGGGCTCCCTGCTCAGCGGGGAGTCTGCTTCTCCCTCTGCCTCTCGCCCCTGCTTGTGCACTCGCACTCTCTCTCTCTCAAATAAAGAGGTAAAATCTTTAAAAATAAAAGAAATATAAAGAAACAAGTAGAGGGGTGCCTGGTTGGCTCAATCCATAGAGTATGCAACGCTTGATCTTGGGGGTCACAAGTTCAAGTCCTACATTGGGCATAGAGCTTACTTAATAATAAAAATAATAATTAAAAAACAAGTAAAAATCTGGGATCCTGCCAGCTTGCTACCCATACCCTTAATGCCACGTGAATGGCCACCTTCCTGCCCCCCACCTACTCATGCAGCAGTCCAAGTGCACAGAATCCTGGCACAGTGGGTCTGTTTTTATATCATGGACTCTGGTTTTTTTTTTCTCTTTTTTTATGGGCCTTTTTCTTTTTTCTGTGCTCCCCACAAATTGAACATAATCTTCCATAGTCGGTCCATGTTTACACAAGTGACAGGAGTCCAGAGAAACAGAGTGGAATATTCAGGCAGCACAAATGCCCCAGCTAGGGAGGATAGAGAATCTGCCTAGGGGTGAGGTCAGGAGTCAGGTTAGGGACCTGGTGTGGGGAGGAGGGCCATGTTAAACATCGGGTTAGGGAATCAGGTTAGGGGTCAGGTTACGGATCAGGGTATCAGAGGAAGACTTAGCTGTGTGCCGTACTGCAGCCAGGATCAGTCTCAGAGCAGGTGAGACTGGATTTGACAGGGTTGGAGTTTTGCTCAGAAGTGTGATGAAGGAAGAGAAGGACAGTGGAGTTTAAGATGTGTGCAAAAGAGTGGCCATAAGGCTTGACTGGGAAATTTAAACTGGGGATGAGGGGAAGGGAGGAAAAGGGAGCAGCTGAGGACAGCGGAAAGTGGCCAGACCACTGGCCTGTGGGGGCTGCTGGTCCTGGAGGGCGTTGGGAGTCCGGTACCACAGCAAGTGAGCTGGCAAGAGAGGGATGCTCACAGTGGGTGGTGGGTGGCTTGCATTTATTGGCCATGGCAAAGCTAGAATGTGAGCCCAAGAGAAGGGCCTGAAGTGACGCTGGAGGGCAAGGCCCTTGGGGTGGAAGAGCCAGACACCTTTGAGCGCCATGGGGAAAGGCAGGCCTTCCTCCAATTGAAAGCAGCCTTAGCCAGGCACACACAGCAGAAGGAGCAGGTACTGGCCTCCAGCCCTCTCTTGCTGTTGGAACAACCTACACAACCAAGGTGGTGGCCCGGACTAGAGTATGGAAGAGACATTCATTTGAGTCCTTGAGTACACAGGAATGATGTCTATGGGGCTGAGACTAAGCCTACTCGCTCCCCTCAGCAGCGCCCATTCTCTGTCTCCATAACAAAGCCTTGAGTTTCTGGGTTTCCTGGAAGACACCATTCAGCAGCCTCCCTTGACCCTTCTGCTTCTGCCTGCCTAGCACTGTGGGTGATGGGATGGAAAGGACGGACCCTGGACTGCCGACCTTGGACTTGTTTTACCTAAGAGCGAGAAAACATCCATATTTTCTCAGCCACTGTTATTTGAAGGGGTTTCTGTATATAAAACTGAACTTAATCATAATGGATTCAAGGACAGATCCCTAGAAGCTAGATTGCTTGAGGCAGTGTGACTGCCAATGTATATTTTTGTAAACCTTTAAAATTAAAGATTTTATTTTTTAAGATTTTATTTATTCATTAGAGAGAGAGCACAAGCAGGGGAAGTGGCAGGCAGAGGGAGAAGCAGGCTCGCTGTTGAGCAGGGAGCCTGATGCAGGACTCAATGCCAGGACCCTGAGATCATGACCTGAGCTTAAGGTAGATGCTTAACCGAACAAGCCACCCAAGTGCCCCTCATTTGGTGCTTTTTAACAGCTTCTATTTTTTCTATTGAAGTTTCTCTTCATTCATTAGACCATATTTTCCTTTAATTATTGAATATCTTCAAACACCTGCCTTAAAGTTTTTCTCCGTCAGACCTAAAACTGGGCTTATGGTTGGTTTCTATTAATTGCTTTTTTCCCTTGATAATGGCCACATCTCTTTTCTTTGCATGCTGAGTAACTTTATTGTTCATTAATTGCTGTGGATGATATGCTATAGTCTCTAGATTCTGTTATCTTCCTTTGACAGTGACAATGTGTGCTTTCCGATCATTGAACACTCTGCAGCTTCTGCCTTCCTCCCTTTGGATTCCCACTCTAGGGAAGCCAGCCCATGTTGGAAGGATACTCAAGCAGCCTGTGGAGAGGCCCACATGGGGAGGAACTGAAGCTTCCTGCCAATGGCCAGCATCACCTGAGTAAAGCTGTTTCCGTAGCCTATCTGCCGCTCCAGCTAAGGTTTCGGATGATGGCTGCTCTGGGCATCATCTTGTCTGCGACCACAGAACTAGCTGTCTCGCCCACTCCCAATTCCTGACCAAAGCAATTGTGTGTGATAATATTTACTATTGTTTTGAACCACTAAGTTTTGGGGTAACATGATACACAGCAATAAATAACAGACAAGATGTGTCTAGAGGATGTATTGCTGTAGGATGAGGCTCCAGTTCCCAGGGCATGGATCCTAGTGTCTCAGCCGCATGCCAGGGACATTCATGGGCTTGAACAAGGTGTCCACTCTAGCTAGCCCAGAGCTCCCACAACAGTTGTTCTCTGGGAAGTCTGGGGGCCTCACCCCAAGTATATGCGGCCCCGTCCTCAGCCAAGGACAGTGGGACATCTTAGACTCCCCTGGACACACTTGCCGGTCCTCCAGTACCCTCTCCACAGATTCCAGCAGCAGCACTGGCCCCTCAGCTTGCTCATA